ACTCCGCCCGTTCGCTTCCACAAGCTCTGATATGTCAAAATTTCGATTCTACACCCTCAAATTACCTAGAAAAACAACTTTTGGAATAGAAATTGGTTAATATTAGCTTTTTTAAAACGCGAAAAAAGGTGCGCAAATGGCCGGGTGCGCAAAAAAAAGGTCGCATTTGTCCCACTCCCACAGCAGTCATGTTTTTGTTTAATACAAATTTAAACCAAAGAAAAGCAATAGAATGATTCAGAAAACCTGAAAAGATTCGAATTTCTTTAAACATTTCTGTCGGATGACAAAGATTTGAGTAATGTTTTTGATGAAAAAATGGGAAAACATGAAAATGAAAATGGAAAAATGAAAAAATTGATGGCGGTTGATGGTCGTTTCATAAAAATGACTGAAAAGAAAAGAAATGTGAAATGAGATTCTCGAGGTGTGCGTGATTTAATTGAGCCTTTGATGCATAATAAATGATCGCTCGTAGATCGCATCTTCACACCACACGAAAGGTGACAACTGAAAGTATTCTTTCTGGAGAAATGGGCACTACCGAAGTCAAGTGAAATTTGAAAATTTCTTCGATGTTCAACGCTGATTTCATTTCGAGAAATTTGTGCTCCCCGAGTGGGTGGTCATCATATATTCACTGCATGAGAAATTTTTTGTCGCCAACTTCCGCCAAATGAAAAAGAGTCTCTAAATTTAGCGATTTGATAAAAATTCCAAAAGAAAAACAGAAATTCCAAAAGAAAAACAGAATTTAAAGAAGATAGTTGAAAAGCTGAAAGAGTAAACTTTAGAGAGAACTTGCAATGAGAAGTGGAGAAGGGACAGGAATGCGTGAAAGGAGATCTGTAGAAGAACCTGTAGAAGAATCTGTAGAAGAACCTGTAGAAGAATCTGTAGAAGAACCTGTAGAAGAACCTGTAGAAGAACCTGTAGAAGAAATGAAAAGCCTTTTTGACAGTACTAAATGATTATAGGAAATCGGATTGAAGAAATTCAAAATTCTAGGATTTTGAAAAGTTTTTTACCGTGCTTCTTCTTGTGGTTGCTCCTATTAGGTACATGCATTGATGAGCATCTCCACGCCATTGAAAAGGCGATCCGATACGGGAAATGGCAGTGCAAACGCTCGTTTATATCCGAACAACCTAATAATATTAGGTACATGCATAAGAGATGCGGATTTAAACATTTTCATAAATTTCCAACGATAGAAATCTGATATCGATGAATGTTATCGATGAATGTTATCGATGAATGTTATAAACTATTTGAAAGTTGTAAATCTCCTCTACAAAATAGGCTAAAACGTGTTTCAATTCATCGAACCATTGAAGAAATTTCAAAGGCGAAATGCGAGTGACCAAAAAAGGAATCGAGTCACTTTAGGGACAAGTTTAGTGTGGTCAAAATAGAGTTAGCTTCCCAAAATTGAAGATTTAACAAAAAAAGGATAACTATATATTAGGTTGGTGCAGATGAAACTTCCGTTGGAACCATAAACAAAATTTATTATAAAAATCCTAATACAGAACCTCAATCCAAAAGATATTCGCCATCATTATCAATGACTCTTTGCCATCTTCCACGCAGAGAATGGATGCCCTTTTCGAAGAACTCGGGCAACTGCGACTGGAAGAAGTTGGACACCCAGATTTCAACTTCTTCGCGGTTTTTGAATTTTTTTTCTGCTAGAGAGTGCTGCATCGACCGAAACAAGTGGTAGTCGGATGGGGCCAAGTCCGGGCTATATGGCGGATGAGGCAGAACTTCCCAGCCCAATTCCTCGATTTTCTGCTGGGTGATCTTTGCGGTGTGGGGTCGAGCGTTATCGTGGAGGAATTTTGTAGTCGCTGTGTTATTGCCTTGACGACGCAATGCCTAGTCCACGCGGCTCAATTGGGCTTCGTAGAGATCCGCCGTGACTCTTTGGCCCGAATCCAGCACCTCAAAATACACGAGACCTTTACTATTCCACCAAATACAAAGCATCACCTTTTTTTCGTGGATATTCGGTTTGGGAGTCGGTTTTGGCGGTTCACCGGCGTCCAACCACTGCCGTTTTCTTGTTGTGTTGTCGTAACATATCCACTTTTCATCTGCCGTAACAATGGAGTCGAGAAAACCGGCGGTCTTTGCGCGGCGGACGAGAATTCCAGCCATTGTAGCTCGGGCCGCTTTGTTTGCGTCGCTGAGCTGATGTGGCACCCATTTTCCACACCGATTCGTCTTACCAATTGCGTGCAAATGGCGGAGAATGGTTGTATGGTCGCAGTCAAACAGCTCTGCAAGCTCCCGAGTTGTTTGGCATGGATCCGATTCGATAGCGTTCTTCAACTCATCGTTGTCGACAATTTGAGGCGGATTCCCGCGTTTTTCGTCTTCCAAACTCTCATCACCGTCTCGGAAGCGCTGAAACCAAGTCCGGCATTGACGTTCGGACAACACGTCATCGCCGAATGCTTTGCACAGAGCACGATGAGATTCCGCAGGCGTTCTGCCTTGTTTAAAATCATACAACAAGCAAACCCGCACTCGAAATTTTTCGTCAACCATTTTCTAGAAGCTAAAAATTACTTCAAATTATGTAAAACGCATAAGTCTTAGATATCAAAAGACGCGCAAAGAGACGCTCTTTCAGATAGACAAATATCTTCAATAAAAACTTTTATTAGGTTCAAAATATAAACAAACAAGTGTGACGGAAGTTTCATCTGCACCAACCTAATATATATATATAACTATATAACTATTCATTTAAAAAAAGTCTAACGGAAATGCATTTACAGAAATTTAGATAGAGCGTAAGTTCAAAACCCTCAAAATTGTCAAAAAAACCGGCTTTTTCACAAAAAATAAAAATTATTGTAAAAACAAAGTTTTCCCATGAAATGATCCCAACTCTTAATTATTTTGAATGATATTTTTAAGATAATGATTTTAGGGCCGTCATTTTCCACTATATAGTCAAAACCGAACTCTTGTGAAAGTGGGGTTTTCAAAAAGTGCCCTCTTTTGGTCACTCGCATTTCGTCCTCGAAATTTCTTCAATGATTTGATTAATTGAAACACGTGTTAGCCTATTTTGTAAAGGAGATTTACAACTTTCAAATAGTTTATAACATTCATCGATAACATTCCTCGATATCAGGTTCCTATCGTTGGAAATTTATGAAAATGTTGAAATCCCCATTTCTTATGCATGTACCTAATATTTTATAAATTTTCTGTCTTATTTGCATTCTTGATTAACTGTAGTCCTGTAGAAATCGGACCATCGGGCTTAAAACAGTAAATCAACTGATCGTCGGCACCACTTGCATCGATTTCAACACCACAGCTTTTGAAGGATCGACGAATGACTTCTTCCGAAATTGAATCCCAAGCATCAGCAACCCATTGTAAGTAGATGTCCATTTCAGGGCCTTCGCCTTCTCACCTTTTGTGCGTTAACGTGCTTGCAGCAAAATTCAATCCTCGTAAAACTATCGAATCAGTGCCTTAAAAGGACCATTCCAAGCCACATATGCACATTAAACAAACCAGGAACAAAGAAACAATCCAATTGAATCTGATTGAGCTTTTCCCTCGTCGACTCGCTTTGATGAAATGTTGAAATCCGCATTTATTATGCATGTACCTAATAGAATTACGTGATTGAGATCAATTGTGTGAAGACCAACGAAAGGGGAGTACGGATTTGTCTGAATTTGTGCTGCTTTTGTCTGAAATTTCATCGTTAAGGTGTACAAATTGCCAATCAACATAAACTATACCTTTTAGCAACAAAAACTTTCTAAATATCGTCCTCTAGAAGCTTGATTAGACTGTTATTTCATTGTACAAGTCTATTAAACCGTCCAGAAAGTTTTTTCGTTCCCTTTCGTCCTTTCGTTTAAAGACGAAAGGAACGAAAAGACTTTCTGAACAGCTATTCGTCTCTACTTTAGTTAATTCTATCATTTTATTCTTCTCAACCATTGCACATTTGTTTAATTGTTCAATTTTTGAATAATCCATGCCCCGGGGTGTCGAAAGAATGATGGTTGGAGTCTCTCTAAGCCTTCGTGGCCCTTCTCTCCTCGTCTCGATTTGTTTGACACCCTCGAGTGCCCACTCCTCATTTCCACAACTTTTAGGGGCGCCCACACAAGGTCTCTATTTCTCGATTTCACTATTGCACCTAAAATCCTTCACTTCAGACTTGTTCATCTTCATATTATTAGTTATTGATCAATCCTTTCATTTTGTTACTTGATTTTGATTGATCAACTACTTGATTTTGATTGATTCTTATTTTCATACAGTATCATAAATGAATCTTGCTATTGTTTAGAAATGAATCTTGCTATTGCTATTGCTATTGCTATTGCTATTGCTACTGCTAAAATCCGAATTCATTTTGTCATTGATGAAAATCCCTTGAATAGAACACATATTATAACTTGAGCATTTCTCATTCTGTTCTATCGTGACCTCCTCCCAAATCCTCTTCCCATCTTTCCAGAGTTCAATCCTTATTTGACATCTCTTTCGATCCAAATAAAAGACAAACTTTCATCAATTCATCTCTGTGTCACTACCGAAATGGACCTAACAAATAGAGAAAAATCAAATGACAACAAATGGATCAAAAAAAAGATGATGAGAAGGACTGGACTTCATCCATTTCTCTAACTATCGCTGGGACGATCTCAGAAAGACTCAAAAGAAAAGAAATGGAAGAGAAATGGAAGAGAAATGGAAGAGAAGTGGAAAAAGAATTGAAAAAAGACAAGTGGATGGCCCGAGTCATTAGGGAAATTGACAGAGAAATTGAGATAAAGAAAAGATTTGAAAAGAAGTGCGCTAGCGGAAGCGGCCTTTCTTGATCTTTCATAATGTTGCAAGCATCAATAATTCTTCGTTATTTTACTTGAACAATTATTTCCGCTTGTGTTCTCTAGTGTTTTAGGGTTTCATCACTACTTCTGCATTGCGAAACACAAACTTTTAGAATCATGCTATCATTGCTTTCCCTTTTGATCGCCTCAGGAACAGTGCTGAGACCGGATACAGAAACGTGGACGCCAACAACATACCCCAATCCTCGAATCAATGCCACTTTGTGCAATACGAAAGAAAACTCAACTGTAAGTGATCAAAATAGACTTTAAATGGCTTTGAATAGGCTTTTTGGCTTTGAATAGGCTAGGCTTTAAATAGGCTTTAAATAGGCTTGAAACAGGCTTTAAATAGGCTTGAAATAGGCTTGAAACAGGCTTTAAATAGGCTTGAAATAGGCTTGAAACAGGCTTTAAATAGGCTCCAAAACTCCATTAATTTCTTCAATGCCTCAATTTCTATTGCAGGTTTGTGATCCGGATCATTTACTCGCTGATCAATGGAGATCAACTATTGATGAAACTGTGAGGACTCAAGTTGAAAGTTTGTTGGAAAGAAAGACGTTTTTAGTTTTCTGTTTAGAGTTAAGAAACACAAAGATTCAATACATTGATGATGCTCCAGAGGATTGCTCGAATGGAACCGATCCCTTTCAGATGTATGTGTTACTGGCTAGGAAAATCAATGGTACCACGAATTCCACTGTGACCACTGAAGAATTGGTAAGTTTGAAAACTATTTTAGGCTCAACTGAACTTGGAGAAGTTGATTTTAACTTTAGAAAATCTTTGGTGACGGTCTAGTGGAACACCTGGGCTTAAACAATCAATCGTGTAAGAATTTCTTGGTGTTGATTGTCGTCGAAACAGCGAATTCCGCGTATGCAAGGGTAGATTTTTGTTGGACTTTAGATCCCTTTACCTAATCGATTTAGACCGGTCGCCATATGAAAATGCCAGCTGACTTGATGGAGCAAGCTTTCAACAGCTCGAAAAATGTTTTCAACGAGAAAAATTATATGGAGGTAAAAGATAGAAGTTACAAACTCAGAAAATAACAAAAATGAAGCAGCTGTCTTGAAAATCTTTTAGTTCCTTTTTATATTGGGTTGGTGAATTGAAAACTGCCGAACTTTGAACTAAAATTTATCCAACATAAAAACATGAATTCATTCCAAATAATTTCCATTATTATTGACGACTTCTGCTCATTTTACAGGCAATTTGCGGATTCCTGTTTCGTAGTAGGATTTTGGTTTGTGTGTGAGACAAGTGTAAGACTCAAAAATGGAGGACTGGAGATGCCCCAGTTTGAGCACTTTCTTCAAAAGAAACCCATTTTGGTGTCAATGGAAAAGTTGTAGAGAATCAAAAATTAGGCTTATAGCCAAATTTCCAAAAAGATAAACTTAGTAGTTTCGCTTAAAATGCAAGTTTTGTGAAAATTCATAAATTTCGCATTTCTTGAAAACCAGTTTTTGAATCGTTCTGAAAATTTGAATATAAGCTTGATTTTTGATTCTCTACAACTTTTCCATTGACACCAAAATGGGTTTCTTTTGAAGAAAGTGCTCAAACTGTCACATATGACAATAGCCGGCAGTTTTCAATTCACCAACCCAATACTTTCGTTTAAAACCAACAAGTGCACCAATTGAATGGTTTATTTCATTAGAAAAGTCAATTGTTTTTCTGTAAAATAACATTAAAACGTGTTTAAAATGTCTTATGTCTGGATTTTTCTGGGAGAGTGAAGTCGGGTAGACAAAAAGGACGACGGCTTGATGATGCGGACGCTTTAGCTTTAGAAAAGACACACTTTAGCTAAAGAAACCCATTTCGGTGTCAATAGATAAAAGGTAGAGCATAAAAATTTAGATATATCACCAAATTTTCAGAGAAATTAATTCAGCCAATTTTTTTGTAGAGGTTTTTATAGATTTATAGATTCGTAGAGGTTTTTATAGACGAAAAACACGTTTTCATTCTTGAATTTGCTTGAAAGTGAATTAAAATTGTCTTTAAAAAATGTAAATTGAACAAGAAACACTTTTGATTTAGAGTAAACCATAAGTTAATTAGTGAATTTGTTATTTTTTTAATGTTTTTGTTATTTAATGTTATTTTGCAGAAAAATAATTGGTTTTTCTAATGAAACAAATCGTAGTTCAATTGGTGTATTTGTTGGTTTTAAACGAAAGTATAAAAAGAAAAGAAAAAACTTTCTGGACAGCCTAATAATATTGGGTTGGGGAGAATGAAATGGCGCCGAGATTAAAGAAATTTCTAAAACTTTTAGCAGAATTCGTCAAATGGTACGCGTTTGATAAGTAGAAAGGTTTTTTTTCAATAGAAAGGTTAACTAATCCTCTACAAAATGGCATTTAAAAGAGAACTCAAACAGCGTCTCAGCCATTTTTTCACAAAATCTATAAACTTTCATCTCGAGAAAACGGTTGAAGGGATCTTCCTAAAAATTTGGCAACTTATGTAATTGAGTGTGCTCTATCTTTTTTATGTAGACATTAAAGAACGTTTATGTAGAAGAAACTGTTGAAACGGTGAGTCCGAACCTTTGCCATTTTGACTAGCTGTGTTTGAGAGTCCATAAACTCCGCAAAAGAAAGCTTTGTGGAATCTCTCGAAGGTCATTTTCTAAAGAAATAGTAGAGCCTTTTGATGAAACAAATCGAGTGCTTAAAGAAGGCTTTATGCGTGGAAAAGGTGTCTTTAAAGTTCAACGCCATTTCACTCTCCTCAACCCAATACTTCTAGATCTTGAATCAAATTGTGGAGAGAATTGGCGATTCACTGGTGCAGACTTTTGAGCCACCCACCGAGCCACCTTCAGTTGAGACTTCACCAGTGAGTTGAGATCGATTAACTGAATAGGCTTCTAATAAATCTCAAATTTTAAACCGATTTCTTGGCTGCTTAACTTGGCTTGCTTTTTGCTTTGCTTGATACCTACCGTAAATACTGTAATAGTACCCCACCCGCCTCGTACAGTCGCGTAGTCGCAAGTATTTCATTTTTTTCAAAGCGCCCGTCCTTTCAAAAAATGCGTCTTTGGTATCAAAAAATAGCTGGAATTCAGGGCTATTTTTTGATACCTAAGCGCGCATTGTAGCATAAATCAGTGTCGAGAAAAACTCGTCCAAAGCTAGACTACGCAACGCTCCGCACCGTCATTATGGGGGTGGGGTACTATTACAGTATTTACGGCAGCTTGTAACCCGTGTTTTATAAGAATTCAGTTGTGATTGTGATTGAATTTTCAGATGCTCATGAAAACCGGTGACTTTAACAGATAAATTTTTAACAAATTGCAGGGAATACACTGTTTTTTTCATTTTTCAGGAAACTACTTCGGAATCGATTGAAATTTCCACTCTTGGTGAATCAACGGAAAGCAATTATCACCTGACAGAGCCGAGTGATGGAAAAGGCGGCAATGTGTAAGAAAACTGAACACTTTATGGCTTGAAACTGATCTTGTTTAGTCTTTTCTATATCTTCATGATGTTCCTCGTCGTGCTGATTCTATGTATCATGGTAACTGTAGCTTTGATAAGGTAAGGTAAAGAAAATATCTAAAATGATAACCGGATTAGACATCGTCAAATTCGGATCGGTTGCTCTGAAATGAAAACGCCACATTCACATCAGTTCACGTAAGTTTGCATGAAAAGCATGGCTGGCTAGGTTAAAGTTTGGGCTTTTTGGGCTTACTAGTTTAATTCTATCGCTTCTATTAGGATGGTGCAAAAGAAACTGCCGATTTGACGGTAAATTAAAAAAAAAAGATGGCGTTCGATGGTGACATGATCACAATGGAATATTTTCGCAAGATCTCGAGCAGATTGGCATGGATCGACCTGAATAACCCCTCGTTCTCGCGTCAAGTTGTCGTATGCAATCCATTTCTCATCCGATGTCACGATAGAATCAAGAAATCCGTTATTCTTTGCACGATTCAGGAGAATGCCAGCAATGGAAATGGTGGATGCGAGGTTAGCATCACTGAGTTGATGAGCGACCCATCTTCCACAACGACTTTTCTTTCAAATAGCGTGAAGATGGCGTTCGATGGTGACATGATCACAATGGAATATTTTCGCAAGATCTCGAGCAGATTGGCATGGATCGGCCTGAATAACGTCCCTCAGCTTGGCTTCATTCACGACTTCTGGCCTCGAACCGTGCTCGTAATCTTCCAAAGTCTCGTTTCCCTCTCGGAATTGTTGAAACCAAGTCTGACACTTCCTGAGAGATAAACTGCCATCTCCGAAAGCAGCATAGAGAGAACGATGCGATTCGGCAGCAGACTTGGTTCCTTTTCCTACAAATTTGGTTCATTTTCTCTACAAATTTGGTCCTCTTTTCTCTTTTGGTTCCTTGCGAGACAACGATGCGATTCGGCAGCAGACTTTCCAATTTTGAAGTTAAACAGTAATGCTGCTCGTAGCATAAACTTTTGCTCGACCATGATCTAAATAAAAAATATAAGCATTTTTAAATAAAATAAACAACAACCAAAAAATTCAAATGTCGAAATAAATAGCAAACAAATATGCGAACAAAACATTAAAAAAATAATGCCGTTTGCATCGCTCGTTTCTGATAAATGAGAGCTGATACCCATCGGCAGTTTCTTTTGCACCGCCCTAATAGCTTAAAATTTGGGCTTTTTGGGCTTACTAGTTTAAGATTCGAAATTTGAAGTCTATTGCTTCTGTAGACGATTTCTTTACCTATAGAGAATACACAAGCGCCTACAGTCATCATTCACCAAGCAGTTTGATCATTCGAGACACCGTCACCATTCCTCAACTACAGCTAAACTTAGAGGTAGGTTAAAACTTGATAATTAACTTCATACGAATTCAGGATGATCTGGACACAAGATCTTCGATTTGTGGAAAGGTTTGTCACGTTTTTTAACAAATTCAAAAGTTGTGCAGTGCGTGAGAGGGTACCGATGGGGCAATGATTATTTAGATATTAGTTATATATTTATTCCGAAGATAGTATAATCACTAATCTAGCAAGAGAATACAATAAAATAGAATCAATCGTTGATTCAGTGTTTCAAAGCCAAAGAAAAGCAATACAAAGTGGGCTCCGTCCCCTTTTATCGCACAAACGGAGGAAGGACAAGAGAATCAAATCCTTTAGAGGACAAGAGAATCAGAGATATTCAAAATCAAAACGTCAAATAAGATTTCACAGAAAAGAGCTACTTTTCTACAAAAGTAGCTACAAAAGTAATCAAAAGTGTCAAAGAGTGCTGAACTTTTGGCACTCATTCAAAACGACTCTCGCCTTACTTCGTACGAATTGACTGAGTCTTTGGTGGTTGATCGATCGACATTAGTCAGATCTCTTCAAGCCCTTAGGTTCACATCAAAATTGGGCACTTGGGCTTCCCATACTCTAACCGAAACCCAAAGGTTGAGCCGAATTTTGATTAGTGCTTTCCACGGAACTTTCCCGTGGATTTTAGCGGATCTTTCCCGCGGATTTTCGCGGATATAAGCAATAAAGTGTGGCAATTAGGCTGAAAATTTGCATCAGGGGTTTTCGAGGACGAGGAATCTGAATTAGTTTTGAAAGAAAGAAAGAAAGAAATAAAGAAAGGAAGAAATAAAAGAAAGTTATTAGTTTTGTCGTGAATGTGTTAAGAGAAACGATTTGCTTTTCAGACTTCTTTGACTCCAACTACGTTATCAACCGATGCAGCTCTCCCAAAATCAGAGCCACCTATCGATGAGAGAAAAACGTTATAAGTCTTCATAATTCTTTTGATTTTTTTTGTCTTTCTCTTTTCTTTCTTTTCTTTTCTTTTCTTTTCTTTTCTTTTCTTTTCTTTTCTTTTCTTTCCCTTTCTTTTTACGTTGCCTTTCCTGACCATTACGAGTATCTTTCCAAGATTTTACCTATAGGCCAGCTTTCTTCGCAATACACACAAGCTACCTGCATTTTTTCATAAATAAACTTTTTTGGAATAAATATTTATCACAAGCTTTTGCCTATTATTCCTAAATCAGCCGAAAAAACAATAAAAAAACATAACATAACAAACAATAACAAGAAACAAGTCAAAATTATAAACTCTAAGGACTGATTTATTTCTAAAGCAGCCGAAAAACAAACTTATTTCTGGTTGCTTAAGAGAAATGAATAATTGAGCGCGCCAGAAATGGTTTATCTCATCTATTTTCAGATTACCGAACAGAATTTCCGTGAAAATTGATTGTCTCTGGAGAGAACATAATTTTCGGGACGCTATTTGTCAACACATCAATTAAAATAGATGTTTTTATTGCAATATTTTTGCATTTTTGTTTTTATTACAATATTTTTCATTTACCATTTGCTTTTTTTCCCCATCTTGGATATTTACCCTAAAATATCAAAAATATCGCGAATACAAGTTCTGTTTGGTTTTCGCATGCAAATTGACGGCTGTCCCCGGTGCGGTGTGTCGAGGGTTCGAACCCCGCTGCAGCATAACTTTTTTGCTTTTTAAGAACAATAATAGAAGTAAATTTATTGAGGGTTATAGCAATTTTATGCTGTTATTTGTTGCTCCAGACGTGGCTCGGCGCGTCCGCCCTGCTCCTCTCCGGTGCTCAGTCTTATGGATCCCTCCCTGGCCTCTTCATGGCCCTCCCTGGCCTCTTCATCCGGCCAAAGTCCACGTCGACGGTCGAAAGAGATGCTTTCCAGCGTCTTCTTCAACACTATCGTCTGGATGTATCCATGTACATAACAAATAGCAATGGTGATAGGCTGTCACCCTGTAGTATCCCGCGCTCCAAGAACAATAATAAAAGTTTATATAACAATAAAAATGTATAAAAACCCAACAAAAAGAAATTCAAAGCAATTAAAGCGAATGTAAATTAAGGCAGAACTTATACTCGGATGAACTTATACTCGAGACTTTAGGGTATTTCATATTTACTTCAGAAATGTCAACGAAAGTCGAGTTCATCCCAAGTCAAGACGGAAAGCACGCATTTGAATAAGTAACTACCGTATTTCTTCGAATAGAAGACCGGGCAAAGAGTATCATCGCGTACTCCTGCGTAGCAGCCCTTTTTAAAATTTCTTTTCTGCATAAAAGCTTTCAATGAAGTGCTATAGAGTTGGAAAATGGCTCAAAAATCTGTTAGCTCATGTGGTATTTTTGAGTCATTTTCCAGCCTTATAGCACTTGATTGAAAGCTTTTATGCAGAAAAGAAATTTCAAAAAGGGCTGCTACGCAGGAGTACGCGATGATACTCTTTACCCGGTCTTCTATTCAAAGAAATACGGTAGTAATACACTCTAAAATACAGGCGGCCATCTGCAACTTGATGAATGGATTGTGTTTTGGAGAGATTTGTTCGACAGAGCTAAAGCTATTCTACCTGGAATCAAAGACGGTACGATGGTTTGTGGAGTGATTCCACCTGAGGAGCTCAAGTGATAAGAAATGACTCAAAACATTCTTTTTGATTTTCAGCGTGTTCTACTAAATGATCTAAACTTTAGCATTGACCAGTTGTTTGTGTTTTTGTAGATTTTTGCAATTTAATCGGCTGTAAAGAAGTTTTCAATGTTACTTTATTTCTCTCTTTACAAAATTCTCTTTACAAAGCTCTCTTTTTTACATTTATGGCTGAGAGAAAGCCCATACAGACAAACGGATGGACAGACACTGCTTTTTATATATCATAGAATGAAAATAAGAGGTGAAGGGTCACCATGGTGGCATGATGAGAGACGAGTAAAAGAGAGAGCTTTGCTGGGTTGCGAGGGATTATTTGTTCAGTGTTGGTGCAATGGGTGGGTCACTTCTCTTCTCCTTTTCTCCTTTTTCTCCTCACTCAACCCATTGGGAATGGCTTCGTTTGAGATTGGAAATGGGTGTAATGCCCTTTCAATCGTTTGAATCGAATCCTTGTCTCTGATACCCTTTGTGAATCCCATTAATCTATTCAAAGGCTTCACTCACTATACCTAGCTGCATTTCACTTTTATATTGCATATTTCAATTGCATATTTCAATTGCATTTTTGAATTGCATTTTTGAATTGTTTTAGCAAATTGCTTAAGATTTTCAATATGTTGATTGTTTTTAAGCTTATAGCTTCGGGCTTTTAAGCTTGTTATTCAAGATTTCTTCGATCTTTCTTCCCAATAGTTTATAATAGACTTCGGAAAACAAAACTTAACCAAAACCAAAACCACCAAAACCAAAACAGACCAAAAGCAAAACCAAAACAAACCAAAACAAACCAAAACCAAAACCAAAACTAACCAAAACTCGCCAATATCTCGCGATTGGGAGGAGATAGCGAAAATCTGTTTGCAGATTTGAAATCAGCGTCCAAAAATCTATCCCATAGGCTATTTTTTGTTTCGAAATTTCGAGGTCGTGTTTTGGTCCTTTTTTCGGCCACGAAATTTTGGGGAGTGAGAAAAAGTGAAAGGCAAATTTGCATTTTACATTAAACTTTGCATTTTACATTTTTAAATTTACATGTTAATTTATATGCAAATTGAGTTTTGGTTTGTTTTGGTGTTTTGGTTTTGGTTTTGATTTTGGCTTTGGTCTGTTTTGGTTTTAGTTTTGGTTGCCGAACTCTAGTTTATAAACAATTTGCTAAAAGCAATTTGACAATAGTTTCCTGTTAAACTCAGAATATTTTGTGCTTTCTTGATTGGATTTTTAAGATTCTTGATCGTATAATAACTTCTTGTCAAGATTGTCCATGTTTCTTGTCAAGATTGTCCACAACAAATTCCCTTTCCTCTTGCAATGAGTCATATGTTTGGTCAAAAGGAAAAAAAGAAAGAAAGCTTATCGATTCTTGCCGATTTTTCCTTGTTTGTGACGGAAAAATTCACAGATTTCATTCAAATTTCTTTACTTTTCTATATTTTCTATTTTTCAATGTCAAAATGGGACTCGAGTATCACAAATATAGAAAGAACACGATGTCAATACAAAGAACGGGAGGGAAATGCTCAGCCAAAACGCTTATGGTTTACAATTTGTTATTTTGGGTTTGTTTTGTTCTAATAATAGGTTTTGATCTAATAATAATTCCGACCGGATTGAATTGAATTGAAATTGAAAAATTGAAGAACAAGATTAATCTAGGGAAATCGATACATGTTCTGGATTAATCTGGAGTGCTATTCTTTATACAATCCTTTATACAAGTCCAAATGCACATGACATTTTGCAGCATTCACAATACAGGGTGATCAAAAAGTTCCCGCACACTTGTAAATGATTGACTTTTTTAAATGAAAGCTAAAACAGAAGTGTTTTATAGTATTTTATAGTGTTTTATAGTATTGCCCTGTTTTATAGTATTTCATAGAAATTCTGATGAACATTTCTATAAGAAATCACTCGAATCGGAAATTCCCAGCCTTTTCCAGCCTTTTCCAGCCTTTTCCAGGATTTTTCAATTAAAAACAGATTCAAATAGGTGAGCGCCATGACAGTTTCGACCTTCAGTGCTACAATGCTTCTTTGGAGAGGGTTGGGGAGAATGAGTCGGCGCCCAACTTTAAAGGGACTTTTCACACATAAAGCCTCTTTAAACATACGTTTGGTTTCAAAGGATCCCTATTTCCCAAAAATGCCACATTTAAGAAAAATGTTTTTTTGGAGTTTATGAACTCAAAAGGCAGTGGGTTAAAAGGGGAAAGGGACGGATAAAAATATAGAAAAGATTTTTTAAAAAAAAATTTTTTGTTTTTTTTAAAAAAAAAGGAAGAAAAAAAAAAAAATAAAAATATAAAAAAAAAGAAAAAAAAAACCAAAAATTTTTTTTTATAGATTTTGGTTTTTTTTTAAAGAAAAAAGGTTTTTTTGGGGGGGGGGGGGGGGGGGAGGTTTTTTATTTTTTTTTTTGGATTTGTAGGAATTGTAAAACAATTGAAGATTCGTTGGGGACTCATTCTCCCCAACCCAATAGATGGCTCTGATCAAAAATGGTTTAGGTGTAGAAATGCTCCCCAAAAGTTCAGCTTCAAAATACTATATAGCAAGCCAAATTTCGATCTAGGTTTTAGCTGAAAAATGCTTCTTTTATAAAGTGTGCGGGAACTTTTTGATCACCTTGTATTGTAGTTGCAAGTGCATTCGAAAAATAACAATCGTCTCATTGCAAGTTCTGAAGAATTATACAGGGTGCGCCAAAAGTTTCCGTACTTGTATTTTCTGCATTTTTGGTAATTTTACATAAAGATACGATTTTAAAAATAAGAAATTCGAATTCCTCGCGAAAAACTGATTTAGAGAAGGTTTCTGGTTAATTTATAAATGCAACACTAGTTAAGACAAGTGTTAAGACAAGTGTTAAGACAAGAAAATACAAGTACCGGAACTTTTGGCGCACTCTGTATTTTGAAGTTCATACTTTCTATATCCCAAACTAAAACTCTATCAAATGAGCATAAATCGTTGAGCTGTGTGCACCCAGTTCCTCGAAAAGACTTTCTGGACAGCCTAATAAGTTGCCATTAAGTTTTACCAGCTATTCTATTTGACAAATATCCAAAAAGTGCTTCAAAGTGCATCAAATAATTCTAGGCAAGTGGGATTGCCTTGCTGCTAATCGGGATTTGGGTGCAAGTTGATCCGAGAAGAAGTTATGTTCTTCGATTAGTGCATCTCTCGGAAAGGGAACCCTATTTATATTGGGTTGCTTGGATCTGTGTAATTGGTAAAAATTTTATTAGCTTTCAAAGCTTTCAAAACTTTCAAAACTATCCTAGCTGGTGCCTTCACTTTGTTGATTGGATTCTTGTCATGTGTGGCGGCGATCAGAAGGCTTAGATGCATGTTAGCTGTGGTGAGTTTTATCAGGAGAGATTCAACAAACAAAAAGGCTTTTTATGATATTACCAGCGGAAAACGCTTACTAACGTTCGCGTTTTCCACTGGGGAAGTCCACGTTTTCCACGAAATCTAAGCCCCTTTTGCCAATGGCTGTGCACAGACAGACAGACGGACGGACGAACAGACGGACAGACGTCCCTTTTGCTTTATATATACATATAAAGCATTGTACATATAAAGCATTGTACATATAAAGCATATAAAGCTTTATATATATTATTGTAGTAGATCTAGCTTTTTATTACATTATTTTTATATTTTCTTATATTAGGTTGGTGAATTGAAAACTGCTGGACTTTGAACTAAAATTTATTGAACATAAAACCATGAATTCATTCCAAATAATTTCCATTATTATTGACGACTTCTGCTCACTTTACAGGCAATTTGCGGATTCCTTTTTCGTAGTAGGATTTTGGTTTGTGTGTGAGACAAGTGTGAGACTTAAAAATGGAGGACGATGTCCCAGTTTGAGCACTTTCTTCAAAAGAAACCCATTTTGGTGTCAATAGAAAAGTTGTAAAGAATCAAAAATTAGGCTTATAGCCAAATTTTCAAAAAGATACACTTAGTAGTTTCGCTTAAAATGCAAGTTTTGTGAAAAAATTTGGCATTTCTTGAAAACCAGTTTTTTAATCGTTCGGAAAATTTGGATATAAGCTTGATTTTTGATTCTCTACAACTTTCCATTGACACCAAAATGGGTTTCTTTTGCTCCCTGAGACGGTGGCGCGTCTTCGTCAGAGCTTGAGGTAAGGGTGATTCCTCCAAGATAGCTCAGGGTGACCCCCTCCCTCACCGGGGAGTGCTTGGGGGATTTGGGGGGCTAGTAATAGCCCCCCCCAAGTGCTGCAGTTTTTTACTCTGATTTTTCATGGATTGAAGCTTTTGAAGCTGGTTTTGTAATTAGCCTTCGGTACCGAAGGCTTATCTTAAGGGTAATACTAAGGGTAATACTTAGGATAATACTTGGTATAATATTAGCCTTCGGTACCGAAGGCTTAGTATTACCAAAGAGATTATCCTTCGATACCGAAGGATTAGTATTACCCAAGAGATTAGCCTTCGGTACCGAAGGCTTAGTATTACGAGGAAGGGTTCAGTACTGAAGGGTACTGACTTCGTTGTACGTTGCGTTCGTTATGGATCCCAATATATCTCCTTTCTTGAGGAAGAAAGTGCTCAAACTGTCACATATGACAATAGCCCGCAGTTTTCAATTCACCAACCCAATATTTTCTTATATTATCATCTTTATTTTCAGTTTATGATTTTCCTGGTGCTGCTCTTTGTTGCCGATATCGCGATCGGAACGCTGGCTTGGGTTTACAGAGCACAAGTACGTTTGGACGAAAAAGTCCATTGTTTAAAAGTCCACTATTTTCTGTGCTTAATCAAGTCCATTGTTTAACTAACTAAATCAATCATTTTCAGTTCACATTACCAAAAATGAAGCTCTATCTAACGAATATGACAAAACATAAATATGGAAGGGATTATTGGGTTCAGCCACTCCTCGACAGCATTCAGTTTTATGTAAGAAAACACACAAGAAAGTACACATGCTGTCAATCAAAAATTTCCAAGAAAAATACAACTAATTGTCCTTGTTCTATTAATCTTTGTTTTAGATTTAATAAATTAGGGTTGAAAGTTTAGCTAAACAGAAACTCGACCCTTGAAACGGCAATCAATCGGTTAGTCCGTAGCAATTATGGGATTTACTTGGAGAAACCACATTTCGCAAGACTGACAGCTGATATTGATCGATTGCATTACTACGTAAGTGATAAAACTTGATAATCTGGAAGCATTTACAGCAATCTGGAAGCAACCTGGAAGCACTATACTCAAACTATACTTTTGTCAGCTATGTTAACCCCTTTTTCGGTCCGTTTGCTGTCGGCAATCTACGAATTTTGGTCGTACCTTGACCGAATTTGCTTGAAAACGTTGAAAACTTGAAAAACTTTGATTTCATTGATAGAAACTTTGATTCCGCGTCGAATGAAAGCAAAATCAACGTTTTTTAAAAGAAACCCGACTAAGATACGAGCAAAATACGTAGATTGCCAACGGCAAACCGGTCAAAAGTTAGGAGTTAACATGGCTTTTCTTGAATGATTATACAATCATAGGTAACGGTACAATCATAGGTAACAGTACAATCATAGGTACAAAGTAGCCAATGCAGAGTGATCAAAAAGTTAAACTTGAGTTTGACTTGCCTGTTTGACTTGAGTTAAACTTGTTTGACTTGTTTGTATCGATAATATCGATACAAACGTCAAGCTCATGTTTGACCGTTAAGATCTCGATTTCTAGAACAGCTATCAATCTGTAAATTGTATCATTGGAAAGCCAAGAATGTCAGCTTTTGATTGCTGTTTTATGAATAAGCAAGTTTACTACTAAAATACTATACTAAACATTTTCAGGGTGAATGCTGTGGTGTCTCGTCGCCGAGAGATTGGAGTACTTCGAGATGGAGAGCGAGAATTGATGGAAATGAGCAAAAACTAGAGGTTGGTTCAGCTTAAGCCTGGTTTAAATCAGTCAGTTAAATCAGTCAGTAAGTCAGTTAAATCAGTCAGTAAAAATTGGTTGCTTATTTTCAAAGACATAAATCTACTTTTTCGATTGTAAGTCAAGCTCTTAAATAACAATCCGCTGGACAAAGAACAATTGAACATAAGAAATTATTTGAAAGTTTAGAGAACTAACTGTGACTATAAATAGAGTGTAAATGCTATAAATAGAGTATAAATAGACAATTTAGATTTCACTTGCCGAGGGAGTCGAAACTGGTGCCCTATTCCCCGAATCCTGTTGCACTCTAATCAAAGAAGCTTCTCCACTTAATCCAGTAGCCAAAAGTTTGGCTAGATGCCAAAAAGAAGATGCGCTCCCATTTTGGAGACATCGAAGGGTAAAAAGTGTCTAGAAATCTTCAAAAAAAACTTTAAAATGCTTAATCAACGTACTTTTGGTTTTCAGCATGTGTACTTTTGGTTTTCAGTGTAATAAGGTGATTTTCCTGTTTTAGCAATCTTGTTGCGGTGGTGAGAGTCCTCGAGATTACGAGGAATCATTCTGGTTTATCACTAATCATTTGCGAGGGACGAGGTCGTGGATTCCTCCATCATGTTGTAAACAGACACAAGTTTGCTGTAATTGATGTTTAACTAACTAACGATCAACTAGGCGGCTCGAGCATGGAATATTCAACCGATTAACCCGATGTGTATCACTTATTATTACAACCAAAGCGCGTTTCAAACGTCTGTAAATACAGAGGTGGGTGAAATGAGTAAACAGCATTAGACTAACATTAGAAGCATTAGATTTAGATAGATAAGCATTAGAATTACTTTCAAGTATTGTGCTATGTAGGGAATAAGTTTTGAATAAGTTTTGAACAAGTTTTGAATGGGTTAACCAGGAGTTCGGTGTGTGCCCCGCTTTAACCATAACATTGGGGATGATTTTGTTTTAGAATAGCCGAGTAGCACAAAAGATTACAAAAGATGACAACACAAATACCGTAAATACTCTAATAGAACGCCACTCCCTCTTACGGTCGCGTAGTCTAACTTCTATTTAGAAAATCATTTCTTTCTCAGCTCCTAGACTTTTCCCAACTACACTTGTGGTACAAAAATACTAGATTTCAATAGCTATCATTTGAAACTCAAGCGCACACTGTAACATAAAGCAGTGCGGAGAATGGGAAGTTCAAAGTTAGACTACGCTATTTTACGTCCATCATTATGGGAATGACATTCTATTAGAGTATTTACGATTTTAGAGATTTTAGAGTATTAGAGTATTTACAAATGCTTTTTATACTTGTTAGAACCAGCTTTTTAAACAGAATTTAAAACCTTAACGATAGTTTAACGTAGATCGAATTTATAATTTGACGGTTTATTAGTATAAAGAGAAAAGGCAACGATACCGATTACAAAAACAGCACGCGTGTGAAGAGAAAAATCAAATTCGAAAAGAACGAGGGCAAAACTTCAAAATTAAAAGGGAAAACTTCAAACTTAAAAGACAAACAAGTTCTGCTGAAAAAAAAGAAATTTTTGGGGAAAGAGGACGAAAAAGCGACGAAAATTAAGTGCAAATAGGAACGTAATTTTTGAATAAAACGCACACGATCCAGGTCTAAACTTAAGCCTTTCAGGGTTGCTACGAAAAGATGCACAAATGGTTAAACGAGGTGACTCTCATGTTTATCATTATTGGATTTTCTTTTGCTGGATTGATGGTTTGTTTAAATCTTGTATAGCAATAAGATTTCAAAATTTTAGATGGTCGGCTTAGTGATATCAGTGTGTCTCTGCAACAATATTCGCTACTATGTGCAAGTTGAAGAATATTAGAAAGCTTTAGTCCAAATATCAAGAACGAAATCTGTCTTGCTTTCACTCAATTGATCTCTAAGAATGTCTATTGTTTGAATAAATTTTTTTCATTCTTCACAAGTCAACCAAAAATAGATTTAAAATATTGGGTTGGTGAATTGAAAACTGCGGGCTATTTTGCGGGACTCGCAGATAAAAAACAACAGCATTGAATCAGCTGAAAGGGGGTTTGGTTACTTCAACATTTCCTCAAATTATTGCGAAATAATTATGCTTGCAGCTTTTTATTCCAGCCAGCTTTGGTATTTTTCTTCACTTCTTCTATTCCACTCGACAATCTGCCACCTATTCGTCGTGTCATGCTTCATGAGTTCCTACAAGAGCACAGTGCAGACTTGGCAGTTGTTAATATTAAAAAGATATATGGGGAGGACTTCCGAAAGAACGTGTCGAGTATGGTTTGCCAAGTTTCGATCTGGGGACAAATCTTTGAAAGATGCAGAGGGCCGTGGAGCGGCACCCCAACCGGATGATTCCAAATTAATCGAACTCATTACCAACGATCATCGGGTATCATCGCGTGAATTGGGAGAAGAGTTAAGGGTTGATCATTGCTAAAGCACCTTCATATCCTTGGATTTAAATCGAAACTTGGGGCTTGGGTGCCCCATGACCACAATAACCCCCAGAAGTAGCAGCGCGCCTCGATCAGTGCCGTCCATCTCTCACAATACAAAAGAAAATCTTTTCTGATAGAAGATGAGAAATGGGTTTTATCTGTGAACTTTCAGAGGAAGTGGCAATGGGTGGGGCCAGGCGAGAAACCCGAAAGTGGCCCGATTTGCACCAGAAGAAGTTTATGCTCTGCGTTTTCTGGGATATGAAGGGTGTGGTGTACTGGGAGTTGCTAGATAGCAAGACGACCGTTAATGCAATCAAGTACAGTAAACAGTTGGGAAAGGTGAATGAATCCCTGAAGAAGAATAGGCCCTTCAAGTCAAAGATCGTTCTCATCCACGACAACGCGCGTCCTCATGTTGCAAAACTGACTAGGTCTAAAATAAATAGCCTTGTTTGGGAACTTTTGGCGCATTCCCCATACAGTCCGGACCTCGCCCCTTTTGATTACTATTTATTCCGGATCATGAGTAATGCGAGAGAGCTTGCGAGAGAACACTTCGATTCGGAAGAAGCAGTCAAAAATTGGCTTTGAAATTCGATTTCAAAACTTTCGATTCAAAACCAAAATCCTACCACGAAAGAGGAATCCGCAAATTGCCTTTAAAATGGGCAGAAGTCGTCAATAATAATGGCGATTATTTGGAATGAATTGATGGTTTTATGTTGAATAAATTTTAGTTAAAAGTCCAGCAGTTTTCAATTCACCAACCCAATAGATTCATAAATTTAAAAGCCTTTAAAACATCTTTATTTTTGTTTTTCTCTTTTTACCAATAAAGTAGAGGATGGGTCTCTTTCTTAAACAAACAGGTTTATGCTAATAATATGCAAATTCAAATGGGTGTCGGTCCACAAAACTGGAAAGGACTCTTTTGACACTTTTCGAACTGTTATGGATTGTTTCTTTGTTTTAAATAGGCAAAGAATGCTTAGAGTGCTTAGAGTAAGAACCTTATTTGATAGTCGGATGAAATTCTTATTCAGCTATGTTGCAACAACAGCAACAACAGCAACCAGAGCAACATCTGACTGATAAACCTAAAACCTATTCACTAATTAGTTTTATTGCTAATGTTACAAGTTTATATTGGTTTTAAAGATGTTTTCAATGTTAATCGACTCTTCAATGCAAATTGCTTTGCCTCAGCTTTGCCATTCACTCATCATCCCCAATCCTTCTCTTCACCAATCCTTTTCCCTTCACCAATCTCCTCTCCATCTTTTCAAATGTCCCGTTATTTTCTCGGAGTGAATCATTTGTCGATTACTGAATACCACAAACTTTTCTTCTTTTCTGTCTTTTTGTCTTTCTGTCTTTCTGTCTTTCTGTGTCTTTTTGCCTTTTTGCCTTTTTGTCTTTCTGCCATTTTTCTCATTTCATTGCTACCATTCATTTGAATCTTTTGCAGGCAAAATTGATCTCTTTTTGAATAAACTGATTTGAATTGGAGGAAGGGATTGAATAGAAACATTCTTTTTACTTTGTGAAACATTTTCTTTACTTTAAAATCTGTTGCTTTATCGAAATCTCTTACTTCATTTTACTAATCAAAAGAAAACTCAAAGCAAATCAGTTGAAAGAAGATAGAAAAAGTTACTTAACTTAACGCTTAAGAGCTTAACTTAAAGCTTAAGAGCTTAGCTTAACTTAAAGCTTAAGAGCTTAACTTAACGCTTAACCTTAGAGCTTAACGCCAACTTTAGTCCAACGCGTTGAACCGAACCGTTGCAACGGTTAAAGGCAAACGTTAATCATTCACCAATTCGTAATTCACTTAATTCATTGAAATTTGTTGGTTTATTGTTAGTAATTAAAAGTGTTTATTGTTCGTTATTTAATAAATTCGCAACGATACGGCCCGTACTTGGATCACTCAATTCAGGTAGAGTTGAGTTGATTTTCCGACTCCATTTGGTCCAACGATTGCAATAAGTGACTAAGGGTGACTAAAATCACTCAATTCAGGATTAGACACAGTAGAGCTGATGCTGGTACAAGTACTATCAAGTACTATACCTCGATTTGTATAGCTATTAAAATATCTATTGAATATGGATTTTTATAGCTATAATATAGATTTACTATAGTTTTTCCAAATCCTTACATTCAGCCAATACTCCATTGGTCTCAGCGTCAGCTCTTCGAACATAAAATCGTCTTTTTCCTGGCGAATCTTTTTTTTGGCCCTTTTTTGGCCTCAAAAGCCTCACTTTTTTGAGGTTGATTTGACTGAAAATTTTCACCAGAGGTTTTCAGGGTCAAGGAATTCGAATCCGTTATTAGTTTTTAAAGAAAATTGCTCAATTTTTAGCTATTTCATTCGTTTTCATTACCCAAGTCTTAGAGTTTTGTGATGATCGTATTGGCTTGAAAATTAAAGTTACTTAAAAACTAATAACGGATTCAGATTCTCTATCCCAGAATGCCTCTAGTTACAAATTTTCAGCTCTGCAGCTAACATAGAGTCGTCCGAAACAGTCAAGACAAAAATGACTTTGTCGTGAATGTGTTAACCTCAACTTTTCCTCAACTTGTCTAGAGTTAGGGCGGAGTCTCTTCTCCCCTCTCTTGCCTTTCTTTTCCCTTTCCACTCCTTTCCCCTTTCCTCATTTCTTCGGACCACCCGCCTCTTTTCCCTTCTTTCATTTTCGATCAAAATCCTCATTGAGTCCACTTGCCCGCAGCCATTAATTACAGAAAACTCTTCGTTTCTCCAAAGTTTATCCATTTCTGCCATTTCTGAGCTCATTTTTCATTCAAACCATCTCTTACAGTATTCTTAGAATTTGTTGTGCTTTTGAATAGCTCTTTGAATAGCTCTTTGAATAGCTGGTACTCTTTGAGTTTGATTTTAAGTAATCTAAATCAAAACCCAAATAGTTATCCAAATTTAGAACCGATTTTCTACTCAAACCCAGCTCTGGCAATCTTCTATGCACTTAATTTTTCTTCTCCTACTGCCTATATTCTTGGGCGGTTGGGCATGCCCGGATGAGTGTCAATGCTCATCGAATACCGTCTCGTGCACAGGAAAAGGATTGACACGAATTCCCAATGGAATACCCGAACACACGCAGAGATTGTTGGTTTAGAATTTGGGCTAAATCAAATGAATTTCTAGAGATCTTCAAGAGAACAAGATCTCGATCATCAGAAAGGATGACTTGAGCCATTTAAGTCAACTGAAGATTCTGTAAGTCTTGGAAAAGATTCCATAAGTTGTTTAGAATAAGAAATTCCTTATTTCCGTATTTCCGTATTGCCGTATTGCCGTATTTCCGTATTTCCGTATTTTCATATTTCTGTACAATCAGAAATTCTGTTTATATCAAAATCCAGACATAAAACTCAGTCAATATAGATTTTGAGTAACAAGAATTGGAGATTGGCTAATTTCAGACAAGTGATGGACAATGAGATCCACACAATCGAGGCATCATCGTTCGACAATCTCACTCATTTGGAAAGAGTGTAGGTTTTTTCCAATTTCTTGAAAATTTGGCTAACTTTACAATTTTCTAGCTTAACAGCTTTAGAATTTTATGAATTTCGAATTTCGAATTTCGAATTTCGAATTTAGACGCTTGAATCGAAATCGTCTCCGCGACTTGCCCGAACGTCTATTCCTCTACAACGACAAATTGCACAGATTGTGAGTTTTCTGACTTATTCTTTGTTTCTTGATGTTTTCTATTCTTTGTTATCCTTATCACTTTGAAAGTCGTCCGATTTTAAATCCATTCCATTTAAAATCCATTCAAATCGGACGAATTTTATATATATACTCCACAAAAGGATCGAATCAAGATCCTTCTGGAGAAGAGTAAAAACAGGGATGGGGCTCTGGGACGGAAGTACTCTATAAATTTTAAGGTCATCGGCGTAGAGTCGGACTTTTGCGCCTGGGGAGATCGAACTGTTAATGTCATTAATATAGATAAGGAAAAGAAGAGGACTAAGAACGCTCCCTTGGGGTACTCCGCTACTAATGGGGAAGTCATTCGAAAAGGTAGAGCCTAAGCGGACGCGAAAAGTCCTTTCGGTAAGCCAATTTGCAATCCAATTAGTGATGGATATGGGGAGACCTAGTGAATTTAGTTTGGCGATTAAAAATCTATGATTAACAGAATCGAATGCTTTGGAAAAATCAATGAAAACGCAGCTAGTTTGATCGTTTTTGGCTTTAGCTAGAAGCCAGTCATGCGCACAGAGAACTAGCACAGAGCACAGAGAATTTTGAAACACTTTATCTGCAAAACCTCTTTTTACCTAGAAAAATCATTTCATAAAGAATTTTATTCAATTTTTCGAGTAAATCTAGTCAAATTAAACACAATTCTAGTTTTATTCAACACTTTATTATCTTAAAAAAAGGTTTATCTTAAAACAATCGAAATTACGCCTTTGTTTTATCAAATTTCGAACAATATCCGGGTAAAGAGTATAGGATGGCGCCGACTTTCAAAAAGTTTTTCTGAAACACATAAACCTCCATATAATTCATTGTTTTATAAACAAAAAGATCTATCATTCCTCTACAAAATCGCTTTTAAGAGATTCCAAAAAGCTTTTGTTTTGTGGATTCTATGGGCTCTTAAACGCAATTAGTCAAAATGAGACGAGAATTCGATTCGTCGTTTTGACGAGAATTCGATTCGTCGTTTAACTCGTTTCTTAGAGATAAACTTAACTTGATGTCCGTCTGGAATTGTTTTAAAATTCGACGTAACAATTGATCCAATCAAGAAGCTTTGATCCAATCAAAAAGCTAATCGTAATTGAGGCCTCAATCTCGAGGAGTTTTTCCCCCTTCCCATCCCGACTCAATCAGTTTCGATCACAGCTCATCACTCACTGTGTATTCTCTCAATTTGATAGATTACATTCTCCAATCTCAGCTTTTTCTTATTATTTGCTATTTTGCTGGACTAAAAGTGTGAGAAGAATTTGGAGGGGGAAAGGAAAAGAAAAGAAAAGAAATTTAAAATCTTAACATCGTTGAAAGTTACTTAAGCCCTTCATTAGCTTTAAAAGTCTTCAACTTCAAAAGCTTACCTTTAGCAACTCAATCTGTAAACTGGTCCAAGCTCCACAAAATCTTTAAAACAAATTTGTCGAAATGTCTCCAATCTGAGATGTAATCTTTTGTGAGTACCTCTTTTTCTTTTTAATATTTCATTGGTCGATCAGTCCACCTCTTGGCATCTGTCAATCATCATCAAATCAACTTTCATATCAGAATGAATCAGCCAAAAAGCATGTGACTCTTAATCTTTAATTTAAAACTTTTAAATTGTTTTGTAGATTTACCGATAAAAAACATAGAGAAAATTAGTGTCAAAGTTGACCTTCCAGATAGGAGTCTCGGAGTTCGATGACCCTTCCAAATTCCATCCAATTCCGTGATTAAGCCTGGAATTTGGGGACTTCTCTATTTTACTCTATAACTCGGTTTTCTATAACTCGACTTTCAATTGTCAGATCGGCTCGGGATTGGTTTTAAAATGATCCTCATGAAATTCGGCTATAGAAAAGTACAATTTACTTAGTGCACACTAGTGTAAGAACATAGAGAAAATCTGTGTCAAAGTTAGACAAATGTCAAATGTTTAAAGAATTGAAACTGTTTAAAGAATGGAAATCAGTACATAGAGCTCATAGAGTCGGCACATATGCACATTCAATCGGCTATAAATTAGTAGTTAATGGAAGTTCTCATCTCATTTAATGGAAAAACATCTAAACTTTCCCCAGAGTACAGCCAAATCCATCACTCTTCTTAAAATAACGCTTTTATGTTCTTTGACTTTGAAATTCTTTGACTTTTCTACAAAAAGATTCACAACTTAGTGAAGCGAGGAGGGATTTAAGTGGTTCTCGTTTGTGTGTCTATTTGGCGCCATTACTCTTCGTTAGAACAACAGTGCGACTGGCAGTGCACGAACAGTTGTCACTTTGAATAGAAAAGAATCAGCCGATCCACCACAGAAGAATTGTGGATGGGGGGAAAGGGGAAAGAGAACGGGGGAACGTGATAGCTTGAGAAGAATGGAAGGGGGAAAGCGGTCAGATCAAAGGAGTCAACAATCACTGACCCAGTGAAAGATTTGAAGAAAAACATGATTCCCAATCAGGGTAATCAAAACAGAAACGATGATAAGTTTTTGTTTGGGTTAAAAAGAGTTAAGTGCTTCAATTTCTCACAAACTTTTCAGAGAAACATCTTGCTTTTTAGCCCCAGAATTATTGAAACCTTTCGAAAGCACAATTCCAAACATTTGTCATACAAATATGTACAATTCAATACAATTCAATCACTCTATTCTCCTCAGAATCTCTATTTCTCTATCTCTTTCTCAGCAAAAATTCTTCATGATAGATTTTTGCGTGTTCACTGAAAAGTAGCTACTTGAGACTCGGAGAAGTGGGCAAAAAAGAACAGCTCTCCTCCCAGAGTCCCCTAAAAAAACACTCAATTAGTAGATTTTCGTACTTCTTCAAGAGGAAATTAGTTAATTTCTGAGAAAATCACTGATTTCATTGAGTGCAGACGACTTTTTCTCTACTTTACCCAATCGCAATCAATCTCCAAATCGATCCCAATCTAGCCCAAATGTTTGTTAGCCTATTAGCCATCAAATAAATCGAGAAAATTCCCCAAACTAACTGTTCTTCTTGGCTTTTAGTCTTTTCTTCCCCCAAAAACCCCTTCTAAAGCTATAAAAATGTGTACACTGCACATGTGCTTCTCGAAAAGAGTCTCTTTCGTCTTAACTCTAAACTTAATTTTGTAATAAAGATCTTTTCATGATAAAAAAGTCAACTTTTTAACAGAGAATTGATTGATTGATTTGATTTTTTTACTGCTTTTTGAAGCAAAATAGTTGAAAACCAGTTTATTTTCTTTTAAATCGTTTGAATGCTCTGAAAAGGATGAGAAACCGGTATGACACAAAAGCATCAAACATTTGACTTTCCAAGCAATCGGAAATGTTCCCATTTTGGGTAGCCTTCAAAGTAAACAAACATACAAACATATAGCTAAGAATTGATCAATTGGAGTAGAAAGAAAAGAAATTGGCAACAATTCAATTTTAGGGATCTTTCCGAGAATCAGCTCTCGATCATCACGAATGAACACCTCCGTGGTCCGAAAGCGATGCGGAATCTTCAGTTGGAGAAGAATGCTTTGTTTTGGTACGTGAAAAGCCAATTGAATGGTATTTTAAGTAACCTAGATTGAGTAAAACAGTTTTAAATACCTTGGTGATTGCTTTTCTACATCTCTGATTGTTTTCTGACTTGATTAACCATTGGCAGCAATTCAAAAACCCCAAGAACTCCTTCTAGCACAGCTCTGACAAGGTTCAAGGTAATATTTCTAAAGAAAAGACTCCATTAAAATTCTTCCCTTTCTTTGTGAACAAGTGTCAGAGGCCAACAGTCACTTTGCAACCGAATGGGCGACAAATCGGGTATTGTGTTGGAATGGATTTAGGAAAAGAAAAAGGGGAAAGAGGATGTGTTGAGCGTGGGATCCGATTGAAATGGTTCCGGAGAGGATAAAAAGAAAAAGACGGGGGAGAAGAAGAGGGAAAGGGTCACGCAAAGAGATTATCCCTCAAACCATAGCACTCTTCACACATTTACTATGAAAGGGACCACTTGTCCCTAAATTTTTAAGTTCACCGGAGTAGTAAATGGAAAATGAAATAAACTAGCCACAATGTGAGGATCATGTATAAAATAGTTGAAGCTAAGATTACAGAGTGCGTCATAATTATGGCCCCTGATAAATCAGTCGGTACTAACCAAAAAAACAAGTCACCCAAAGATAACAAAGTCTTTATAACAATCTTTATTTATATGTTAACAAGTGTAAAATTCAAATTTCAAAAATTCTTTCGTCAACGGCGATGGCGAAAAGCGTGGCTTCAAGACGTGAGCAGAACGCGCCAACTGTGGCACGAAAGTAGGCAATGGCAACCTCGTCCCCAGCGGAGCGCTTTCTTTAACGAGTCAAGTGTTCGATGTGGTTTAACACATGCCTTAGCTTTTAGGCTCAGAAATTCTCATTTTGTGTGACATGAACTGGACTGATCGTTTCGGGTTACGAACCCCTCTCGCACTTTTTTGATGTTGGACTGAATCACAATCACCGAATCACAATCACTGAATCATTCCCTCGACCAGCTCTATCAGCATTTGTTCCCAATTCCTTGAAGCGTTTAATCGTCTTGTTCACGAGCCGCGTAGAAACGTAGAACTCCCAAATTTTGAGAAATTGCACGTGTCAAAAGCCCCCGTCGATGCAACGCCATGATCGAGTTTCGATGAACACTCGGCTTGAGCACCTCTAAAAAAACACTATATAATCTTAGAGATTATATAAAATAACAAGGGTAAACATAAAAAAAGCAAAAGATATAAAATAGCAACATATAGGTGACACCAAATGACCACAGATAAAGCTGACACCCATGACGAACCCTGTAGTTCGTAAAACCTATCAGGCAACCTATCAAGCTAACGAGAAAGTCTTTTCCGCTTTTTTAAAGGTTGCTTTTTGAAATGAATAAAGAGCCAATCGATCTATGGTTTGTTTTATCAGAAATTCCTATTATTTATTTACAAATTGCCCTTTAAGAAATTCTGAACAGCTCGCGTTAGTTAATTTTTTTAAAGGTGTGAAGTCAAGTAGTCAAAAATGATGAAACTCAAAGTTTCGATTTGAGCACTTTTTGTTACAGAAACCTATTTTGGTGTCAAAAGACAGAAGATAGAAAATGAAAAGATCGGTATATAGCCAAATTTTCATAACATTTCACGAAGCCGTTTTCATTCTATGTCCATTGTAAGGATTTTAGGAAAGAAGAATTAGGAAAAACAAGAATTCCCGTTCGGATTAGCTTCAAAGCTGACTCAAATCTGTCGAAAAATGATTTAATTATAATAGTTAATCTTTTTTATTTAAAGCAAACCACACGTTGATCGGATTATTCATTCATAAACCAAAATTTCAAAAAGCCAGACAAGACTTTCCGGCCAAATCAATAATAACTCAAATTTAGTCTGGAAACTGATGTGATCTCGGCTTGGGAAATGCTCGAAGTACTCACTCTCAATGGCAACAATCTGACCACAATTCCAGAGTTCAATGTGCCCGACACACTCAGAGTCATGTGAGCAATCAAAAATCGAAATCTATTAGTGTTATTTAGTCGATTAGCTGATAACCCGTGGTTATGTGACTGCCGAATGTCTTGGGTTCATCAAGAATTGAATCCACAATGGCAAGCCGCTGTGAAATGCTATAGGCCGGCTCTGTTGCATGGGCGGCTGTTGACATCGTTGCGGGATGAGGTTTTATTTGATAAGGTTCTACAAAATCCAATTTCAGGAGCTCAAATGTTCGGGAATTGAGAAACGAGCATCGTTCAGTTGTGCCGATACAAGAATCTGTCCGGTCTCCTGTACTTGCACGGAGAGTACGGTAGACTGTCGAGATGGTGGACTCACCACAATCCCTGCCAATCTGCCGAAATCGACTCAAGAACTGTATGTCATTGCTATAGTGTGTTCCTCGAGATTAATACGTTTTCTAAAACGTGTCCCCGAGAAAAAGTACCATAATCCAATCGAGAAAACAGGCAAAACTCAATATACCGTATAAGCTGTAATAGTAGCTCGCAAAAGTAATGTCCTAGCAACAAAAAAGCAACAAAAAGTAAATCAGAAGTTTGTTGAGCGTCCCTTTGCTTTCACCACTTCTTGAAGTCTCTCCGGCATGGAATTCGCGAGATTTCCCAAGAGATTTTTCGAAATGGTCGACCAGAGACGTTGAATGCGAATCCAAAGGGCCAATTTTTGAGTCGAACTTCTTTTCCTTGAGCCGAGACTTCACAAAAGACCACAAATGCTCAATTGGGTTGAGATCCGGTGAGTAGGGAGGTGAATTGATCAATTTGACTCGATTCGCCTCAAACCATCAGGGTAATCGAGCCCGGGCACCGTTTCGTAGATTCACCACCTTACCCATTATGAGCCTCGACTTGTGTTTCGGGCCTTGGTCCTGGTAGAGCATCCATCCGGGAGGCATTGTTTGGTTGGCAAAAGAAAGCATATGAGTCTCCATGATCGTCTTGTAAGCGTTGGCATCCATCGTTGCGTCTACGCGGATTAACGGTCCTACTGCATTTCGGAACATTTGGCACAAGAAACTAGAAGCAATTTGGGATTTGAAGATATAAAATCCAAACATATTGCTTTTGACTTTATGTCAAAATTCTTTGGAGAAAACTTTTTTGAGGTCTTATGACTGATGCGGACCAGTGTAATAGCTCCCAAATTTGCATCTGCTTTTGCAATTTTGCAGCTCTCCTTGAAATAACGAAATATTCAGTCAAAAGGAGTGATTCATTTACTTTAGCGTAGCGTTTAGTGTAAAGTGTAGTGTCCTTTAGTGTAGCGTGGAAAGTGTAGCGTTTAACAAAATGCTTTTGTTAATACTGGAAGAGATCGTTCAAAGTGATTGAGCTTTTTTTCAAAAAAGTATCATTCTTTGATTATTTTGAATCGTTTTGCGTCTCATCAAAGCGAGTCGACGAGGGAAAAGCTCAATCAGCTTCAATTGGATTGTTTCTTTGTTCCTGGTTTGTTCAATGTGCAGATGTGGCTTGGAATGGTCCTTTTAAGGCACTGATTCGATAGTTTTACGAGGATTGAATTTTGCTGCAAGCGCCTTAACGCACAAAAGGTGAGAAGGCGAAGGCCCTGAAATGGACATCTACTTACAATGGGTTGCTAATGCTTGGGATTCAATTTCGGAAGAAGTCATTCGCCGATCCTTCAAAAGCTGTGGTGTTGAAATCGATGCAAGTGGTGTCGACGATCAGTTGATTTACTGTTTTAAGCCCGATGGTCCGATTCCTACAGCACTACAGTTAATCAAGAATGCAAAATTTATAATATAAAGAATAAGCGTAAAATTTTGCCATCACTTTTCATATCTTAATTTAATTTAGCTGAATAGCTGTCCAATGCACGGGCGCGATTTAAAAAACGCATTAATCATTTAAAAACGCATTAATCATTACCGTAAATACTCTAATAGAAGCCGCCTCCTATAGGAGCATCGCTTTCTCTAAGTTTACATGTAAGGAATCGCTCATATCTCGGCGCTCAGACATTTGTTTCTGCGCGCTTAGGTATTAAATTAAAGTAGAAAAGGTGGGTGATATTTTGAGATATAACACATATTTTTAGCATTAACTAGCGTTTAGGAAAAAATGATTGAAAAGTGTCAAAAAAACCGATTTTTCATCATTCCTATAACTCCTATAGGAGGGACTTCTATTAGAGTATCTACGGTAATCAATTCAAATTTTAATCATCCAACTTTAATCGATAATTAATCAATCGTGAAAACACACTCTATTCTACAAAATCTTGAGTTTTCTTTAGCCGATTGGAACAGAATAAAATCTCCTATGTACCTGCAAGAGCTTTCCACAATTTGCCCCATCTTCGACGTCTTGACTTGAGTCAGAACCAAATCGTTGAAATTGCTCCACAAGCGTTTGCTGGATTGGAAAAGCTGAACTCTCTGTAAGAAATGCTGAAAATTTGTTGAAAATCTTTGAATTTTTAGCGTACTTTACGGTAATTTGCTTCAAGATCTACATGAAGATGCATTTGCCGGCCTTTTCTCTCTTCAACTACTACTTTTGAATGCGAATCAGTTGACTTGCTTGAGGTTTAAGACTAGATTATTACTTTTTGTACATTAATTTCAGAAAAGGAACCATGAATCCGCTGCCGAATCTCAACATGCTCTCTCTGTACGACAACAAGATTCGCTCGATCTCAAATGGGACTTTTGACTCGTTGAAACATTTACAAACAATTCATTTGGCGAAAAATCCGTTGATCTGCGATTGCAATCTAGTAAGTTAACCCATTCGAAACTTCTGCAGCGAATAATCGCTGCAGCAAAAACTCAGGAACGGACCGCTGCAGCGATTATTCGCTGCAGCGCTAATTGAGCTATTTTCATTCAATTAATTGGTTTTTTTTGCTGTTTTTCAGCATTACCTGTATATTCCAATTGTAACAGATCTACAAATTACGTGGGCAAAAAAGACGTGTCATATTTACCCGGAATCAATGCAGCCTCTGGTTTTGCATTGAAATGTTCCATAATAGCTCTAATCTTATAAAGCCGATCTCCTGCAGGATCCAGTTCATTATCACAAAAACGCAGGTTTCGAAGAATAGATTCAAATTTTGCTCTTGACATAATGTGGGACATGTGGGAAAATCCTCCTAATCCAGGCCTGCTACGTAGTCGCGAATCCTCGGTAATTTGACGATTCCCATTTGAAGATACAGAGCCAGGAAGAGCTTGAAAGGTTATGCATCGAAATCCTGCCAGTTTGTTTTCCTTTTTCCATGTTTATTAGATTCGCCTACTAGCATATTGATTAATTTGTCGTCGATAAAATAAGAATAATAATCGATAGGATCTTGAAAAGTACTGAAGTCAAATCCAAATCGTTCTTCATCAAAAATAAATGGTGTAGGAGACTCTCTTAAACCTTTCCAACCATCTGGATAAACTGCTTCGGGAGTCAAAAATGTCAAAAAAGGGCTTAATCCGCAGACGAAAAAAAAGAAAAAACGCTGCGGTTTCGAATGGGTTAACAAAGAAGTAAGTTAATATCTACAGTGCGTAACAAAATGATAGATCCACCATGTTTTTCGCCCCAGGAACTAGACATTTTGAATAAAAATTCAAGTTTTGACCAAAAACAAGTTCAAAATTTAGTTTTAAATCAATTTACATCAAACTGTTATTTCATCGCGAAGACATTGCGCTTGAAATGAAATGTTTCTATGCTAGAAACGTTTCTATGCTTTTCGCCATTTTTCCCGCGTAACAAAATGATAGATCCACCTTGATTTAACAGCTTTATTTTATCATTTTGTTACGCACTGTAGTAAGTTTATCTAATTTTTCCTAATAGTATATTCCTAATCACATTTTATTTTTCGACTTCTTTTTTAAACCTCTCAAAAAAAAGGTAAGGGGTACCACATGATGGAAAAAAATTAGCTGAGGGAATCTTTTCCGTTCATTTTCCACTTGATTTAGTTGTTTTTTTACTTTTAGCTTTCACTTTTTCATTTTGAACTCCATTTCATACAGTTTGCGTTCACATTTTCTGCCTTTCAGTGTTGTTTAATGTAATTGATTTAACAAGTTTATTCAAGCATTTACAAATATGGAAAGGATTGGGGGTTCCGGCGGGCCAGAAATTTTTGATGAAAACTTTTTTGGAAAAATGGATATTTCCCCCGTCAGTTTAACACAGAGGGATGTCATTCTATTAGTGTTACACTATTAGGCTTAGGCTTAGGTTTAGGCTTAGGCTTAGGCTTAGGCTTGGACTTAGTGCGAAGGCTAGCGGCTAGCGTCTCGCACTAAGTCTATTTGGGTTTGGGCTGAACCCCCATTTTCTGGATCTCAGCCGGTTCTCGGAGCTAAGGGACACCCGCTTGGGGATGCTCATGCGCCCCCCCCCCCATAGGAGCATCCTTTAGGCTTAGGCTTAGGCTTAGATTGTCATACTATTAGAAAAAATACGGTAAACTCTTTGTTCTAGGAATGGTTGGCTAATTTGCTGTCATCTCGTGAAATGGAGACTTCTGGAGCGCGATGCGAGGCACCGAGAAGATTGGCGAAGAAAAGATTGGCGGCAATTCCACCAACGAGATTTAGATGTAAAGGTAAGTAAACAGTAATGAACTCTCAAAATTACTTTCATTTTTGTTCCAGGATCTGAAATGTTTGTGACAGCGAAAGCCGGTGAATGCATTATTGATCACGATTGCCCGGATCAATGTGCTTGCTCTGGAACTGTTGTTGATTGCAGGTTATTCTTGGTCCGTTGTCATTCTTGATCATTCTTAAGAACAAAACTGTTTTTTCTTTCTCAAACTTTCAACTTTAAACTACAAGTTTCAGCAATCGAGGCTTAACGAAACTCCCCGACGAAATTCCCCAATTCACCACAGAGCTTCTCCTAAATGGAAACCTACTTAACAAACTTGATGATCAATCCTTGAAATTGCCACAACTTCTGAAAATGTAAGAAAAAGCGAGGAAAATACCTAATTATCTTTTTAGTGATCTCTCTTCCAATCAATTTTTGGCGATTCCCGTGAAAGCTTTTGAGAAGACACCGCAATTGATGCAAATGTAAAGAAAAGGCAATTTATTCAAAGACAACTGCATTTAGCAATCTCTCCAACAATCAGCTGAAATGTTTGACGGAAAAGGCTTTCACCCATCTACAGAAATTGGAATCTTTGTAAGTGAATTTGTAAAGAAATTTACAAACTTGTCGTAATCTTACTTATTATAAGACGCAAAGTTTGTGTATGTGTGTCTGTCCGTTCACCTCATAACTCGAGTCTCAGTGGAGATTTCATTCTGATTTTTTGGGGACAATATGTAATCGATTACGGCGATTTTGTTTGTCAAATCAGAATTTTAAAAATCTTTAACTGTTTTTGAGTAACGTTGAAAAAACTTAATTTGGCGGTGAGATCAAAGGCTAGGCTTTTGGCTTTTGAAGGACTAGCCTTCAAAAATGACTTTTAGCTTTATTTTCTCAGAATATATTGGGAAAATATGCTTATATTTTGGCACTAAGAATATTTTGAAAATTTTTGGTCTTTTGAGAAAACGACAAAGGCGGAAAAGTTCAAGGGCTCAGAAGCGACGATCTTAATCGACGGATCTCGAGTAAACGGAAAATTGCCTCTTAAACTCAATTTAGTCATTAAAATGGAAAATTCAGTAGTAAAATAATGAACTGCAGTAGATTTGCTAACAATTAATGCTCATTTAAACTATGAGTTGGCCCAAATCAGTCAGTAATTAACTCCCGGCGTTTAGCTGGGGGTTAACTGCTGGTAAGGCTTCTTTGAATCTTCTTTGAAAGATTTTCTTAGGGCTCTTGATGGAAACAATTTCTCTTGTGGTTGTCATTTGATGTCATTTGTTGAATGGTCAAGAGAAAAGCCGGCTCTCATCCTTGAAGGAGCTACGTGCAAGAATGGGGAATCGGTCAAGAAATTTGTCGATCTGGATGTGGAGTCTTCTAGTTGTGAAGGCAAGCTATAAGCATTCAATGCCTCGATTTCAAAAGCTTTCAGGAACTCGAGACATTTGTGCAGATGATGGAAATTACTGCCCACCCGGTTGTTTGTGCAAGGAGACAATTGTTAGGTGATCCTGCGTGAAGATTCTTGAGCTCAAATTTCTTGGTGTTGGGTGGTTCAATTTTAATATTCTTGGTATCATTAGATGCACCAAGTCTTTCTCTGTCGATTGGTACATAAACTATTTAAATTGGACAGCCCAACACCAAGATATTTGAGCTCAAAGTTAGATTGCCAATGGCAAAGGGACGGGGGCGTATCAAATGTCCGTTAACCTTTTCAGTATCCATAAGTGAATTACTTTGCAGATGTTCAAGCCAAAACCACACCGCTATCCCCACCGGAGTACCGATGGACACCACTGAATTGCTTCTCGACTCAAACTCGATCACGAAAATCGAACAAAAAGAACTCATCGGACTTCAGAATTTGATTAAGCTGTAGGTTTAAAAATCTCCAACTGCTCAGCACAACTTTTTAGAGATTTATCTAACAATCGGATTACTTCAATTGAGAATGACACCTTTGCGAGTCTTCCAAAGCTCTCAACGTTGATCTTGAGTTACAACAAGATTCAATGCTTAGCTGAAAGGGCTTTCACAGGTAACTTGAGCTTATCTTTTGTAATTAGGAGGCTTTTAGGAATGACAAACTTGAGAATACTATCTCTTCATGGGAATGATATCTCAACGCTCCAACAAACGGCTTTTGATGGAATGGCTAATATCACTCACATGTTGCTTTGCTTCATTTAAAACTTTACAATTAATTTTAGTGCCCTTGGAAGCAATTCTCTTTACTGTGACTGTAACATCTTGTGGTTTTCGAAATGGATCAAACAGAAATACATTGAAGCAGGGATTGCAAGATGTGAAAGTCCATTGCCTTTACGCAATCAACTTTTGCTTACAGCACATCAATCACAGTTGACGTAAGTATTTAAACGTAAAAAAAATACAGTTTCAAGTACGTTTCAATCTAAATTTCAGTTGTGGTGAGCCAATCCCGCCAAAATTCTTGGCAAAGTGCGATCCTTGTGCTCAAAACAAGTGTGAAAACAAGGGAACTTGCCAGAGAACGGGAAACGCTGAATTTACGTGAGTTAAAGAAACATTATTGGCAAATCTGTATTGCTCTAGTTGCATTTGTGCTGCCGGTCATTATGGAGCTCGTTGTGAAAAGGAGATCGATGCCTGCTTTGGCCATCCTTGTCTGAATAACGCTACTTGTAAGGTTGGTTCAAATATTGTTAGATATCTTCTTACTGACAACTAACAGCTGGATGCTAGTGGTTGTAAGTAACTGCTGGATGGTCCGATCAATCAAATTTCTGAAATACTGAGCGCAATTTGTTGACATAAATCTATAAACTCCACAAAAGTTACATTGCACAATTGTACTCTATTCGTTACATCAAAACAGTTATATTGAATCTGAAATTTAACATTTCTCCGTAAACTCAAATTTCCCTTTGATCTTTGCGGCCATAATATAAGCATATTTTACTCAATTAGTCAAAAACGCTTAAAGATTTTTCAATTCTGATTTGACAGAAAAAGCCGCCGTAATCGATTACATATTGTCCCAAAAAATCAGAATGAAATCTCTACTAGGACTCAAGTTATGAAGTGAACGGGCAGACAAACACAAACTCTGCGTCTTATAATAAGAAGTGAAGGCCAACCGGATGTAGTGGCCAAATGACCCGAATAATATGCTATTCGAGGCAGGATTTCACGCTGAATCTGAATCTGCTTTCCGTTTTTGCAAAATGGCACTCTGTCAAAAGTTCTAAGCGTGTAAAGTTTTGTATGGGATTTCAAAAGTCATACCCCGAATTTGTAAGCAGCTTTCATAGAGAACGGGCAAAGCAGTGGTGATTGAGTGGCAGTGCGTTAGAATGGCTCGTGTCATTTGGCCACCACACTGGTTGACCTTCCCTTGTAAGTAAGATTCACTTACAAAGATTCCAAGTTCCACAGATGAGTGAAAGCCTTTTCCGTTAAAGCATTGAGATAATAAACAAGATAATAAGATTACATAAGTAAGTAAGATTACGAAAAGTTTATAAATTTCTTTTTTTAGGTGACGGAAAGAGGTCGATTCAATTGTGTCTGCCGTAAAGGTTTCACCGGTCAATTCTGCCAAATTAACAAGGACGATTGCGTTGAGAACAAATGCCAAAATGAAGGAAAATGTATTGATATGGTACTGCAAACTTAAGTGTTATCAGAAGTTTATCAAAAAATTTCTAGGTGAATGGCTATCGTTGTGAATGCGAAGAGCAATTCGCTGGGAAATATTGCGAAGAGAAGCTGGAATTCTGCTCGAAGAGACTGAATCCGTGCAAGAATGGAGGCATTTGTAGCAAGACTAATGACACTTACAGGTAAAAGTGAAAGAATGATAACGTTATCGTTTTTTAAGCTGTGATTGCGCTTTTGGATTCACGGGGAAGAACTGTGAGATCAATATTGATGATTGCAAGGAGAACGAGTGTCGGAATGGGGCTCAATGTGTGGTGAGTAGTGAAGCCATAAAGTCTCAGCTTTTAAATTCTAAAGCCAAGAATGTCTACATCTAAACTTGCAGAAGATTCTCTTTCTTTCAGGATGGAGTCGGGGCTTACACTTGCGAATGCACTCATGGCTTCCGCGGTCCCTATTGTGAGCTTCCTCCATCATCAAATTTCCTCTACCAAAGCACTCATCATTGCTCGGCTCTTTCATGTATTCATGTAAGTTTTTTAAACTTTAATAAAATGATACCGTAAATACTGTAATAGTACCCCACGCCCATAATGACGGTGCGGAGTGTTGCGTAGTCTAGCTTTGCACGAGTTTTTCTCGACACTGGTTTATGCTACAATGCGCGCTTAGGTATCAAAAAATAGCTGAGATTCAGTGCTATTTTTTGATACCAAAGACGCATTTTTTGAAAGTACGGGCGCTTTGAAAGAAATGAAATACTAAAAAACTTTTGCGACTACGCGACTGTACGAGGGGGGTGGGATACTATTATAGTATTTACGGTAAGTACATGTGAAACTCTTGGGCTTTAATTTGTTGATTCTTCTATTTTTCAGGGTGCTTGCATGGCCAACGAAGAGGATGATGAACATGAAGCGTACTGCCAATGTCATGCAGGCTACTTGGGATCAAAAGTGAGTGGATTAATTTTTTAATTGTTTAATTGTTTAATTGATAATTGTAAGATTGATAGATTGATAGATTGATAGATTGATAGATGTTAAAGCCATAGAAGTTTTAACATAAAATTTCTTTATTGTTAGGCTGTCGAGAAAGTCTTTTCGTTCATAGATTAATTGATGAATTCGTGATTTTTCAACGGAATTACGAAAAGGAATGAAAAGACTTTCTGGACAGTCCAATACAACTCAAATTTAAGTGTGATGTGCTGGTCTCAGCCGGATTTTCTTCACCTCTATCCTTCTTGGCACTTGAGCCATTAAATGCTCCATCGACCAACATTTCCTTCGTTTTGACAACAGAAAGCAGGTTTAACAGTTTTTATCTAATTGCTCTTTACGTAATAAGCTTCAGCAATGGAATTATTGCATATCATGGCGATGAATCAGCTCATATTTCGATTGAGCTTTTCTCTGGTCGAATCAAAGTCTCATGGGATGTTGGCAATCCACCAGCCTCGTTGCTTTACAGTTATTCAATTGGTAAGTACTTCAAATTAATGAAAGATTTCGGGGTAGGCTAGTTTCTGCAATTTTTTTGCGCAACAGGGTTATTTGCGCAACTGGGTCGTTTGCGCAACTCGCCATAACCTCTTCTAAGTCGGTCAATCTTTATGATGTTGGTTTCATTTTGTAGATCTCAATAAGTGCAACAAAATGACACCAAAATCATAAAGATTGGCCGACTTAGAAGAAAGTTATGGCGAGTTGCGGAAATGACCCTGTTGCGCAAAAAAAATTGCAGAAACTAGCCTACCCTAAGATTTAAAATAAGATCAACTAGTTTAATACTTTAATAAACGTAACCAAGCATTATTTAGTTAACGACAATCGCCCACATGCAATCAATCTTGTGCTTCGAGGCCAGAAACTGGCGATGAAGGTAAGTTGGCAATGAAAGCTTGTTCAATCTTATGCTACTCTTTTAGATTGATGGAAATGATGGACAATTTATTGAAAACTCGGGATCTGTGCAAGAGTTTGCACTCAAGAAGAAAGATTTTCTCTATTTTGGACGGCCTCAAATAGACACCGCCAATCAAGCAATCAGAAATTTTCATGTCCGCCAGAATATAAGCTTTAAAGGTAAATAACTAAATCAATTGACATACGCCATCTAATTTTTACCATTCCAGGTTGTCTATCCGATTTGATAATCGACAAACGAACAGTCGACTTCTCAACAACGGAGAAATCTGAAAATATTGAACAAGGTCTGCTAATGATCATCAAACTTTAAACATTTGTTAAGGTTGCTCCAAAGTGATTAACTATTGCGCCGGAAACGTTTGTGGAAAAGGGAAATGCACGGTTGATCTAACAACACAACGCGGCTACAAATGCCAATGCCCACAAGGATTTTCCGGCAATGATTGCTCTCAAAGAAAGATTCAATGCAATAAGGAGAAATTCAAGGAATATCACGTTGAAGGGGATTGCAGGTGGGAGAAATGGCTACTAGACTTGCTATCCAATCGAAATTCTGTCGGGTCGGATCAGATTCAATCCAATAGATGCTTTTATCGAATCGAAAAGATCCAATAGAGGCTTTTATTGGATCGAATCATCATCTGAGGCAATCCAATCGGATTTAATCCGTATTCGATCCATCGGATAGCAAGTCTAATGGATATGTTATATCCGATTTAATTTTATCCGATTTAGACTCAATCTAAATCGTTTTAGATTCAACAATAGTTTTCAACAATTGCGGCGCTGGTAAATCATGCTTTTGTCATGTCCTGTTTGCACTAAATCGTTTTTTATACCAAAAACAAGGCCAGAAGCAATAGCTTGCATCAAAATTCCGTAATTTTTGCCGAATTTAACCATTTTTTAAGTAAAAGCACGCTAAGTTTAAGTTATTCAATAAATGTTGTCGTTAAAACGCTTCTCGCTATTGCTTCTGGCCTTGTTTTTGGTATAAAAACGATTTAGTGCAAACACGCATCAAAAACATGACAAAACCTGATTTACCAGCACAGCAATTGTTAAAACTATTGTTGAGTCTAAATAGGATAAAAATCCAAATCGGATATAACAGATTCATCTCCAGCCAAGTGAGGCAATTAACCAAAATTCTAGATCGATTGATGAAATCAAATCGGCTCGTTGTGATGGTTATTGTGGAGAGAATGGTGATTGTTGCACAGCCGTCAAACAGAAAAGACGAAAAGTGAAATTGCACTGCAAGAATGGGACCAGGTTTGGAGATTCTCGAGTTTTCTAAACAAAATCAATCATTCAGCAAAGTCTCTGTGGTGCCTATCGTTCGAAAATGTCTTTGCAACAGTACTTGTTCCAAAAGAAGATTATGAAATCTTGTTTCTGTTATTTTGTACATTCACTGCCTCAATTGAGATCTGAATTTGATAAAAGTTTACTTTATCTTGTTTGGATTTAAAGAACAAATCTAAATGGCACAATGATGAGACAAAAAGAGAAGATCGTGAAGTGGAGAAAGGATAGGAATGCGTGAAAGGTGACCCGTATAAGAAATGAGAAGCATTTTGACACCACTAAATGATTGTAGCAAATTGGATTGGCGAAATTCAAAATTCTAGGATTTTGAAGAGGTTTTTTTATCGTTCTTCTTCTTCTGGTTGCTCCCAGAATTGCGTGATTGAGATCAATTGTGTGAAGACCAACGAAAGGGGAGTACGGATGGCTGCTTTTGTCTGAAATTTGATCGTTAATGTAGACAAGTTGACAATCAACACAAACTATATCTTTTAGAAACAAAAACTTTCTAAATATCGTGCTCTAGAAGTTTGATTAGACTGTTATTTCATTGTAAAAGTCGATTAGGCTGTCCAAAAAGTCTTTTCGTTCCAGAAATTCATTACTGCTACTTCATTACTACATTTTGTTCAAGTCAAATTACTCGTTTACCTTTCTCTCTCGATGACATGTCAGAATCTGCTTGAAAGCTCTCCGGAAATCCCTCGAGAATCGTGAATAGATCAATGGATTCAACATCGAGTTAAGGTGGCCTGCCCATGTAAAAATAGTGAACATAGTCTCTTTGTTAGAGAAACACTGAAAGATTTGTGATTAGAGTTTCTGTTTCCGATTACTTACCGATCCACATAGAGCTGCGATTGGAGAGAAGATAAAAAATGGAGTCCAACAAAGGATGAAAGCTCCAACAACGATTGAAAGCGTTCGAGCTGCTCTTTGTTCGTGCACATATCTGAAATTGACTTATTGATGGTTTAGAGTGATCGATTCTGCTTTAACAACGTGTTTTTCAATAGTGAGCTCTAGACATGCTATCCGACGGGTGAAATTGGATCGGATTGGATCGGATCGGCCTTTGGATCGCAATCCGATCCGATCCGAAAAGTTGAGATTTCGGATCCGATCCAAAATAGTTCAACAACTAATCAGCTTTATGCGTATTGTAGCTTTTTATTCTTCTTAAGCATTTAAAACTATTAAGTTATCAATCTGAAGAGCGTAATTCAGTTGTATGCTTCACTTCGTTCGTTTTTTTTCTTCGCTTTGTTTTTTCTAAGTGATGTTTGTTATGTTATTGATTTTGCGTTGAGTAATGACTAGAGCTAAGGGTTTTTTCTCTATATTTTTAACGTTTTGAGTACAATCTGCATTTTTGAAACTAGTTTTAGTCTGTAGAAATGCCGTGAACTAACTTCCAGTTGCAAAGGGGTATTTCATTAGAGTTTTTGATAAAAATCGGGCGAGTTGATGACTATTTACGGCTTCTAAAGTTTTCCCAGAAGCTCAACACCCAAATCCTCCACTAGATCTCATCGTCAGCTACATTTTCCGGCCCCACATGATTCAATTTGGTTTTTTGATCCGATCCAATCCGAAAAGTTGAGATCTCAGGTCCGATCCGGCAAAAAATCTTTCAGATAGCATGTCTAGTAAATACAATTTTAAAGCAACACGTCTAGAATGCTAATGTTACAATTGATGAAGTGTTAATGTTAGAATTGACTACCTGGATGAAGCAGTTAATCATAAAATCTGACTCACTTCATCATTTGTCGACTCTTCTCCCTGACTCCAACTCTTTTCCTGATCGGTCTTCTAGATGAACGAGGAGTTGGTTCATTTGACGGCAAAGGAGATGAAGGGATTGTTGTCACAATCAATGCACTTTCTTCTTCTCTTTCCATTCGATCACCGGCAAAGAAATTGTGAGCAGATTGCTAAAATTGGATTTGACAATGACGATTCATTTCGAGCTTCTCTTCACCGTTTTTGCCAATGGTGATTGTGTCCTCCCATGTCCATTTGCTCTCAACAATTGTTGCTCTTCCTCGTTTTTCTGAAATTCAGAAACTTTTATCAATTTCTGCAGATGAATTGCAATTTCTTGCAAGTTGCACATTTATTAGATCGATTTTGAAAAAAAAATCCCCGTGTTTTAATCGACAAAGTCGTTTGAATGGATTCAATGGGGTTTTCTGGTCGTCATCGGCTATTCGAGAGTCCATCCATGCATGTTATCGCCCCTTTCCGTCCAAGCTTTCACTTTCGATCCCATTCAAAAAAAACCCTTCTTACTCTTCCCCTCAATGTCCATATTGTGATCGCCTGACTATGAACAATAAGACGAGAGATAAGGAATTGAGAAAGACAAAGAAAATCGCTAAAAAAACCCACGGAGACAACACGGAACGAGCTCGTGCTGTAATTGCCAATCGAGTCTTTCTTTGGTGGATGAACGACTTTACATGGGAGCTAAAAATTATCTTGTGTATAGATGGAAAACGTCAGTGCTTTTTTGCAAGTACAAAAGTGACGGAAACACAGTGAGTGTTGAAGAATTAAAAACACACCAGACAAGAAACCTGAGGCTCGTCCTTTAAGAGAAATATGCATTGAAAGGATTGATAGAGTTTTCAAACCTGTGCCAGCAAAAGTTTCCCGGTTGCCGTTCCTTTTGCACTCCGTTTCCCTCTGCCGATGCCTCGACCGAAATGAACTCGCAAAGCTGACCCATCATCGCCGCCCAACATCGGACTTCCTTCTCCGCTTTTGCCACCTTTGATCTGGAGAGTTATTATTGCTAATTTGTACCAATAAACTATTGTTTGAAATTTGATTAGTAAATAAAAAGACGTAATTTCGATAGTTTTAAGATAAAGCTTCGTCTCTTGCGTAGTTTCCGGGTATTTCGAACGGGTCGTCACACTTTGAAGTCCTATAACTTTGTCCAGAGATAATATTTTTGCTAACTTTTTATATCAATGTACAGAGGACAATTTAGGCTTTCAAATGATACCAAATAGAGCTTGACTGGATTTTTCTTTCCCATGCAAACCAGGCGACATGACACCCGAGTCGGATAGACCTCATTTGCTCGAGTTGGCTCTGATTTTCTTGGACTGGATTATCCAATAAAGCTCTATTTGGTATCATTTGAAAGCCTGAAATGTCCTCTGTACAATGATATAAAAAGTTAACAAAAATATGCTTTCTGGACAAAGTTATAGGCCTTCAAAGCACGACGACCCGTTCAAAACACCTGGGTTTTTCCAAAATACCCGGATTCTTTCAAAATACCCGGAAACTACGCAAATACTATAAAAAGTACTAAAAAAACTTTGAAGTACTATAAAAGTACTATAAGAGTACTTCCAGTACTACTGAAAAGTACCAGAAAAACTTTTTATAGTACTTCGAAGAACTAGAAAAAGCGTACCACTGTGTTTCTAAACTAAAAATTTATATTGATATTGACAGAAATTCACTAGAAATTTCATATAAATATGAAAATAGGGGAATAGAATAATTGAGAGTCAAGTTACAGTAAAAAAAACCGTGTTTCCATGATGATGTACCGTCTTGTACAAACCTTTTTAATGCCACTGATGTTTCCTCTTGAATGCCTCGTCGCTATCACGTACACTTTCCCATAGGCGAACAAAATCAACCCCAACGGAATGTAGAAAGTGATTAGCGAAGAGAAACTCAAATACAGCACCGAGTCCGTGAAAATGCATTGATACTGAATTTGGGTTTAATAGTTTACTTCGTTTTTTTATTTTACCGGATTCTCATAGAGATGCGGAGTTGTCTCACGCCAAAAGGCAATAGCTGGGAATGAAAGGCCTGCGGAAACAATCCACACGAATAGAATAGCGATTCGGATTCGCCGCTTCGAGACTTTATCTCGATATCCGATTGGATCTTTGCCAGCCATGTATCTAAAGAATTTCTTTATCTTATTGTTAGCTGAATTCCTTACCGATCAAGGCTGATAATGCACAGATTCCAGATCGAACTTGTTGAGGCGAGAATGTCCAAGGCGTGGAAAATGTCGCACATTGTTAGACCTAAACTTTCTTGTTTTTGCTGTGCTTTTGTTCGTTTATAGTTATCGTTTTCAAATGATCCAAATCCACAAACCCAAAATCCAAACGTGGCTTGTCATTTCGTAAAGAGAATTCAACGGCATCACCACCAAGCCGACAATCAAATCGGCGATTGCAAGTGAAATGATCAAATAGCTGAAGATTTTATCGATAAAGAAAAGCATTTCACACATACCCAGTGGGATTCCTGAGATATCTCTTTGTGCATACTGCCAACACGACGAGACAATTCCCGGCAACGGTGATCACACAGAAACATCCCAAAAGAATCGCTAGCAAGGGGTGACGCCAAGCAATGACTGAAAGTTTAGCTTTTAGCATAAGATTTGATTTGATTTTGGTTCAGATCTAGGTCATAGATCTTAATCTATCTGCAAATCTATCTACAGGGTTTAAATTTGGTTATATCTGTTCTTGTGCTTGGCTTGATCAATTACGATTAGGTTGTAAATGAGCGTTTTCAAATCGAATACCGTATTTTCTCTAATAGTAGTAGTAATCTATAGCTTTTTTTTTTTAAATTTTTAAGATGAAAAAAACAAAAAAACAAAAAAAAAAAAAAAACCAAAAAAATTAAAATAATAAAAAGAAAAGCGAGCCGAGTTGATGCCTATTTACGGCTTCCAAATTTTTCCCAGAAGCTCAACACTCAAATCCCCCACTAGATCTCATCGTCAGCTACATTTTCCGACCCCACATCGATAGGTTCTGATAAGCGGTTCTCGAGATTTCGAGCAATTTAGGCGACGCTCAGGGTGCACTACTATTAGAGAAAATACGGTATTTTACTTGATTTCATTTCAAAATAACTTTCAAATAAAAGTTAAAAAATCTTCGAGCCAAAATCATAGTTTGAAAAGCTTGAACAACCAAATGACTAATATATTATGGTCTTAATACGTTTCGTAAGCCTAAAAAGGAAAGAAAAAGACTTCTGAACACCCTACTAGCTTTTGTACAATAACTATCAAGAACAAGGCGCTTAATCGACTCAAATCAAATGAAAGACCTTTTTAAATGTTATGCTAGTCATGTGGCTAAATCTTGCCAAACAATGGGTTGCCAAATTGCTCACAAATGGGCGATGCTTTGGTGGGAGAGGTTCATAGAGTCCCTAGGGGAAACTATCCTCTCCTCTGCTCCGAACCTCCTCAATTACTGTGGATCATTTAAAAATAGCATTTCAAATGAAATGTTCCAAGACTTAGTCAGCCACCTTGAATAGTTGCTTTTGTGTTTTTTGAATCTAAAAATGATTATTTTAATAAATTTCTACTTTTCTTCTTATCTCTTTCATATATCACGTAGCTTTTTCTTTGCAACGGAACACCAAAGTCAATTTTCCGGGTGCAGAGCGCAGTGAAAGTGACGCCAAAGTTGACACTCGTCTCTTTCAAATCAAGAGAATCCAATTTGAGATCAACTCATGAAAATTCGACAAACTACAATAAACTCTCCATTTTTTCCTTTCCTTCTTTCCTTCTTTCTTTTCATTCATTCAACTTTCCCAAAGCTTTCCATTTTTTTGATTTGTTGCCATTTGTGTAAATCCGATACACAAAAAAAGAAAATGAACACAAAATCCCAGAAATATTGCCCTAATCCTTTTCCTTTTTCAAGGATTTAACCAAAAAAAAAGGAAAAAAAGGATAAAAAGATATAAAAATCATTCTTTTTTGAAATTACCTGGAAATTAACTGAAAAGAAATTGATTCTCACCTAAATTAGCCAAATCCTCCACCCTCACAAATCAAAAAAATCGAGTAGGAGAGATTTCTACACAATTTCCGGTGATTATGGAGAAATTGTTGCATTTGTAAATGTTAAATTTCCTCTGTGAATATGAATTTCGGTGAATTTCGGTGAATAATTAGAGGTCAGAGTTTAAAAAAAAAAACTGGCTTTAAGAGAGAAATTCTTTTGACTAAACTAGATTTTTCTAAAGGAATACAATGGAAATAGTGGGTTTTTGTGTTCTTGGAACGCTTTCTTTGATAGAATTGAAAAGAAGGCAAAAAAAATTCCTTGGAATTATGAAAAGCCCGGAAGTACACGATGGAAAAAAAAGGTGTTGGATGAATGAAATTTCATTTCAAACAAGATAAAGGATCTCTTTTTGTTCAGAAAAATGAATATGATTGTGCTTTTCTTGAATGCACTGATGGTGCTTTTCTTGAATGCGGGAAAAGCCGCTGTTTAGGCTTACAAGGGAATCTTCTCAAGTTACCCGCGAGTTACAAAATGAGGTAGGTGCCAAAAGAAAGGCCTGAAAATGTACGTTCAGAAACTGTTTTCAAAAACCGCTAATCGGCAAAGCGCACAAAGTTACAGCCATTTGAATTTCGAAAAAAAGAAGGCTTTTCTCGAATTTCTGGCACACTGATTTTTGCTGGCGGAAAGGCTTTCTTTTCATCCCATTTTCGGGCTCAAGACGAGGCGAAACGCGAGCTAAACGAGCGATTTCGACTCCAATTCCCGCACATTCACTTAACTTTCACGAAGTTCAAGAGGTTTGCCGGAGTTTAAGAGGCTCAACAATGAAACGAGATCAGCCTCAGTCTCCTTTTCGTTCATTTACCCAACCCCAACCCATTCTCCCTTTTCAGTATCAAACGCGAACTCGTCTCTCTTGTCCCAAAAGCCAGCTCGTAGCCTAAAATCAGCCGGAAAAGCCGGCTTTCCTTTCCAATCATTAAATAGCATTTGAAAATAACATTATACAAATTTCTAATAATCAAAAAGGTTTTTTTTAATGTTTTTCAAAAAAAGCAAACAGTTTGACTGCTAGTGGATCCGAACGAAGACCAAAGAGTTTCGAGCGCTAACCACTAGGCTACGAGCTGGCTTTTGGGATGGCGAAAGGAAAGCCTTCCCGCCGGAATGTAAAATGTACCTAATTTAAACTGGTTTTTTTATGGTAACTCGGAAAAAGCGCTTCATCCTTGAACTCCAGTTCTTAACTAGTCGATAGGCCGTCAGATTTTATATTTTGCAAAAAATTTGCAAAGAAATATTTATAGGAAATGATTTTTATAACAAAAGAATCTTTCCTTACCAGTTACCTTTCAACTTTTTTTATGATTTTAAAGAAGAACTGAACTTAAACTCAAGATTTATGGGTTTTACCTGGAGGAAGAACCGATTCGTTCGAAGCATTTTGTGGCCAACTCTCTGACATATGGGGAAGGCTCTAAAAGATATTTATAGAAGACATTATGAAAGTTGAAAAACAAAGAAAAAGGATGAAGAACTATGAAGAACTTTTTGCTCCCAAAAAAACCATGAAGAGCTTTTGCTCTCAAAAAATGATCATTGAAATTAAGCAGTGCTTTAGCCTGCTAGTACGCTAACAGAGAACAATTGCAGAGAGCAATTTTTTCGGCGACAAAAGAAAAATTCGTCAAAAAGACTTTCAAAGAGACTCTCAAAGAAGTGAATAACGATCAAAGATGAATTCGAATATGGCCAATTTTGGGAAAAGAATGAAAAGGAAATCTTTTTCATTCGTTTGATATGTTTTATGAAGTAGACAGCGCTGTGAAGTAGACAAAACTGCTTCTTGGATGATAACTGCTTCTTGGATGATCCAAGAATAACTCAAAAATGAATATTGATATCTTAATTGGTTCTGTTTTTCAACAAATTGCTAGATCAACATTCATTTTCTGCAAAGCAATGAAATTATAGAACTCCTCCCTTGGAATAAATTGATTAGATGGGAGTTCTAAAGCAACTTTTTGAAAGCTTAAATGAGAAGAATAAAAATGAATGGTTCTATAGAAAAAAGATGAAAGACTCGGGTAATCCCAAAGCTTTTTCATCGTTGAAAAGGTGGGAAAAGAGGAAGAGACCCCGCCTATCTTTCACTCTCAATCCACCCTTCCACCCCCAACTCACGAAAAGAGATCAGGAAATTTTATGCAAAAATTTCACCTCTACTTGCCGCTTGCATTAGTCACTTTGCAATTTGGGGCACGAGTCTAGGTTTAGAGGAAAAATGGACGATACATTATGGGAGAAAGAGTTTTTGCTTATGGATGGGTGGTAGATGAATTCCACAAAGTTCTGCCTGGCCTGGTTGGCCAAGATTTGGGAGTTAGAGTTCTGCTTTTCTTGGGACTTCTTCCAATGGAACTGCTTCCAATGGAACTGCTTCCAATGGAACTGCTTCCAATGGAACTTCTTCCAATGGAACTTCTTCCAATGAAACTTCTTCCAATGGAACTTCTTCCAATGGAACTGCTTCCAATGGAACTTCTTCCAATGGAACTGCTTACAATGGAACTGCTTTCAATGAAACTGCTTCCAATGGAACTGCTTCCAATCGAACTGCTTACAATGGAACTGCTTACAATGGAACTGCTTACAATGGAACTGCTTACAATGGAACTTCTTCCAATGGAAATTCTTCCAATGGAACCTATCTACTGTTTCTGCTACTTTGAAAGGTTCCAACTTTTGTAAATGTTTTGTCAAAGTTACAGAAAGCTGTGTAAATGTCGTAGACGATTTTGGATTTTAGTCGAATTCTAATTCGATTCTAATTCTAATTCTAACAAAGCTGTAAATGTAAATTGTGTCATTTTGCTTTATTATGCCAAAATTACAGGTGATTCTCTTGTTTAGTTTTTGGGAAAATTCTTAATTGTTTATTAATTGCTAATGATTAATAGAGAAGTTAAAAGTCGATTCTAAAAATGGAAAAACAACTTCGAGGAAATCTAATTCATAATAGAAATGTTTCATAAGTTCAAAAAAAGTGAGCTTCGTAAAGCTTTGAGCAAAAATCGATGCTACATTCGAAGTTTCATTCAAAATTTACATTTACAGCTTCGTTAAAAATCGGCTAGCAGGAATTCGGCTAGCAGGAATTCGGCTAGCAGGAATTCGGCTAGCAGGAATTCGGCTAGCAGGAATTCGGCTAGCAGGAATTCGGCTAGCAGGAATTCGGCTAGCAGGAATTCGGCTAGCAGGAATTCGGCTAGCAGGAATTCGGCTAGCAGGAATTCGGCTAGCAGGAATTCGGCTAGCAGGAATTCGGCTAGCAGGAATTCGGCTAGCAGGAATTCGGCTAGCAGGAATTCGGCTAGCAGGAATTCGGCTAGCAGGAATTCGGCTAGCAGGAATTCGGCTAGCAGGAATTCGGCTAGCAGGAATTCGGCTAGCAGGAATTCGGCTGAAATTTAAAATCGGTTACGACGGTTACGCCTCGAGTCAATAATTCAATACAAATATGTAAAAAAACAAAAAAGGCTTGGCGCGGGTGGGACTCGAACTTGAGGACAAGGAATGTAATACGTTTGGCAGCCTAGTCTATATCCACTAGCAGCTGTTTTGGGAGTGTGCGGCGGCTTGTTAAGGAGTCCGAAATTGAGATATCTCGGTGCCTTTCTGTTGTCAATCATATTTATTTGCTCACAAACTGAGGGCAAAACATGTAATAGGTTCGGTAGTCTAGCAGACTATCCACTAGACCATCAAAGCGGTTGTTGCGGGAGCGTGTGGCGGCTTCTTAAGGAGCTAGTCTTTATGTGGTGGCTTAGGCTTAGGCTTTCTTCTTAAGGCTTCTTAAGGAAATTTAGATATCTCGTGTTTGCAAAGCGTTCTGCAAAAACTAAAAACGGATTCGAGCTCCCCATTGCCGACTCTATAAACTGCACTTGGTCTAGAGGCAAAAGGCCAGCTTGATTTGATGTTTATTTGCTCACCGGACAACGAACTATATCTTTTTATAGATTTCTTATAGATTTCTTATAGATTTCTTATAGATTTCTTATAGATTTCTTATAGAATCTTTTTAATAAAGCCTTCGCAAACGCTTATTCACCGCAATTCTCAGGAGTTCAAGATTCAAGAAGTTTGGGTTCAAAAAACATTTTTGAAAACTCAATTATATTCTCTAGAGGCCCGATTTTCGTACAGAATAAATCAACAGCATAGTTGAGTGATTTCTTTTTTTAAAACACTTATCTCTTTCAATTTCATTCGATTAATTTGTAGTCAAAAAAACGTTTTAAACCCAACCTCTTAAGCAAATCAAAAGAAAAAAAACGAGGAGAAAGTGAAAATTCAAAGTTCCGAACCAGTTTCAAAGTCAAAGTTTCCAAAATTTCAAATTTTCCGACTCAGTACCAGTTCCGGATTCAAAATCTCAATTTAGGAAACAAGTGAGCAAAAATAATTACATGAAAGATAAAAAAGACATGAGATAGACATGAGATAAAAAAAACTAATACCCAAAAACACAAGCTGTAATTAATGCTTGAAATGTTGAAACAATGCTGTTGAAACAATTAAAATAAGTTCGAATTTTGAGCAAAGGAACAGGAACTGTGTATCCACTTTAGTCTAGAACTTAAAATTTACTTAAATAATAGTTTTGAATTGAAATTTCAAAAAATTAAAGCCGGATTCTAAAAGTACAGGTATATACCGTAAAGACTGTAATAGTACCCCACTCCCATAATGACGGTGCCGAGTGTTGCGTCGTCTAGCTTTGAACGAGTTTTTCTCGACACTGGTTTATGCTACAATGCGCGCTTAGGTATCAAAAAATAGCTGAGATTCAGGGCTATTTTTTGATACCAAAGACGCATTTTTTGAAAGTACGGGCGCTTTGAAAAAATGAAATAATGAAATACTTGCGACTACGCGACTGTACGAGGGGGGTGGGGTACTATTACAGTATTTAGGTACAAAGATCTTGACAAATAGTAGGTACAAAGATCTTGATCAACTTGGGTGCTCAACCAATCAACAAACGAATCAAGAGAAATGGAATCCAATGTTCCAGTTTTTTCCAGACTGTTCCAGGGGGATGGGGTACTATTACAGTATTTAAAGTTTGCAAAATCGATAAGCTGACGAAAAATATGATCTGCTAAAAGACAAAATAGAGTAAAAAGTTCGGTTCGCTTTCGTTCACGGAACAAAAAAAATCGAAAACTAGCCGCCTCGAATAAATTTGAATAAATAGTAATGTCGGTTTTTTGGACAATAAATCGTTGACAACATTTCCTCCAATTTGTGAATATGAAAAGGGGAAAATGGGGGGAAAACAGGAAAACATGGGCCCAATGTGATCAACGAAAGAAGAACATAATTCAATGCTTAGGACAGGCGGATCACTCGCCAAATCGACAAGCGATAAATTTGAGTGAAAAAAAGAAAGAAAGAAGCAATGCGAAGTACGAAGACAAGGGTCTAGCCTCACGGCTCATGTTTTTCACGTCATATTGCTAATTTTTCTTTTTTTTTGAATCAATTGAAGATACGGAAAATGAGAAGTGGAATTTCTTTTGATTAAAAAGCATTGGTTGTCTTTTAGAGTAAGTTTTGAGCAAAGAACAAACGTTAAGTTTGTTTAAAATGTTCGAAATTTGTTTAAAATGTTCGAAATTTGTTTAAAATGTTCAAAAATTTGTTTAAAATGTTCAAAAATTTGTTTAAAATGTTCAAAGTTTGTTTAAAATGCAAAAATTTGTTTAAAATTGTTTAAAAACCTCTTTCGAAAGGCAAGTTTTTACTTGAATCTATAGCTTTTTCATTGTAAAATCTTTAAGATGAAAGCAACTAAAGTCCTATAAAACATAAACAATCACCGTATTTTCTCTAATAGTAGTGCACCCAAGCGAGCCGAGTTGATGACTATTTACGGCTTCTAAAGTTTTCCCAGAAGCTCAACACTCTCATCCCCCACAAGATCTCATCGTCAGCTACATTTTCCGACCCCACATCGATAGGTTCTGATAAGCGGTTCTCGAGATTTCGAGCAATTTAGGCAACGCTCAGGGTGCACTACCATTAGAGAGAATACGGTAATATGAAAACGTCTCAAAATCACTCTCTAAAGCCCAAGCCTAAGCCCAAGCCTAAGCCCAAGCCTAAGCCTAAGCCTAAGCCCAAACCTAAGCCTAAGCCTAAGCGTGAGCCAGAGCTCATTTGCGAGCTTAGTAGTTGAATCAAATTTTATAATTAGAAAGTTTCGCGGCAGATAAATGTAGCCAAGATTCAGGACTTCAATTCTCTATTTAACACTTGGTACTTTTGAATTAAATTAGGCCTTTGACAATTACCGTATTCTCTCTAATATTAGTGCACCACACTGAGACGAGTTGATGACTATTTTACGGTTTCCAAGCTTTTGTAGAAACTCAACACCCAAATCCCCCACTAGAT